ATGCTGCAGGGCAGGTAAAAGGGGGGAGAGCAGCTGTAAGAAACACAAATATCCAACAATTATTATACAGAATATACAATTTATGCAATAAGATACTAAAGCAGAGGGAGCATACAACGCTGACAGGGGGGAAAGAAAAAAGGGGAGAGCTGTTGGAGATAACGAGATTACTATGCAAAATACAGAATATGATAACATGTAATGCTAATGAACTACTATACAGATTAAACAAAATGTAGAAACTGATGAATGACAATACAGAATAAATAAAATGATGCAGCATAAGCACTCATTTCTGGCAGTGGAAACAGGAAGGTGAGGGTGATAGGGGAGGCTCTTGCGAGAGCCGAAGCTCGTGTTGACCCCTGTGGGGGTTTGAGCTTTGGGTGATGCTAAGATGGAGGAAAGAGGTTAGTTGAGAGTCAAGGCAAGGAGTTAAGAGATTGGAGGGAACAGCAGAAGCGCTTATCGCTGGCAGGGCATACAGAAAGGAGAGGTTGATAGGTGAGGTTCTTATGAGAGCCACAGCTTGCGTTGACCCCTGCAGGAGTCTGAGCTTAGGGTGATGCAGATAGAGCAAGGAGGTTATGAGAGGGGCAAAGGCAAGGAGTGAAGAGCTAGGAGGAAACAGCGGAAGTACTCAACGCTGGCAGGGATAACAGAAAAGAGAGGGTGAAAGGGGAGGCTCTTGGGAGAGCCGAAACTTGTGTTGACCATTACAGGAGTCTGAGCTTTAAGCAGATTGAGCAAGGTGGTAACAAGAGAGCCAAAGGCGAGGGGTAAAGAGCTAGGAGGGAACAGTGGAAGCACTCAACACTGGCAGGAGGAACTGAAAGGAGAGGGTGAAAGGTGAGGCTCTTGCGAGAGCCGAAGCTCATGTTGACCCTTGCGAGATTCTGAGCTTGGGTGATGCAGATAGAGCAAGGAGGTTATGAGAGGGCCAAAGGCAAGGAGTGAAGAGCTAGGAGGAAACAGCGGAAGTACTCAACGCTGGCAGGGATAACAGAAAAGAGAGGGTGAAAGGGGAGGCTCTTGGGAGAGCCGAAACTTGTGTTGACCCCTACAGGAGTCTGAGCTTTAAGCAGATTGAGCAAGGTGGTAACATGAGAGCCAAAGGCGAAGGGTAAAGAGCTAGGAGGGAACAGTGGAAGTACTCAACACTGGCAGGAGGAACAGAAAGGAGAGGGTGAAAGGTGAGGCTCTTGCGAGAGCCGAAGCTCGTGTTGACCCTTGCGAGAGTCTGAGCTTGGGTGATGCAGATGGAGCAAGGAGGTTACCAGAGAGCCAAAGGCAAGGGGTAAAGAGCTAGGAGGGAACAGCGGAATTACTCAACGCTGGCAGGGGGAACAGAAAGGAGAGGGTGATCGGGTAGGCTCTTGTCAGAGCCAAAGCTCATGTTGACCCCTGCGAAATCTGAGCTTAGGGTGATGCTGATGTAGCAAGGAGATTACATGAGAGTCAAAGGCAGGGAGTAAAGAACTAGGAGGAAACAGCAGAGGAACTCAATGCTGGCAGGGGGAACAGAAAGAGGGTCATGTTAAGCTCTGCGAGAGCTGAAGCTCATATTTACTCCAGCGGGAGTCTGAGCCGTGAGGGGGTTTGCTAGGGATGGACAGATAGATGGCTTTGGCTTGAGAATAAAGGGGTGGCCAAGATTGGGCTGAGAGGTTTGAAAGAAACAACTTGGGTTCTTTGAGATGAAAAGACTGAGGCGAATGTAGGATTTGAAAGGCTTCAGAGAACCAATGACCAAGGGTCTGGATCTGGTGCTGGGAAAGCCTTTTAATAATGCCAATTCTGAATGAATGGCTGGAGATTGGTTCGGGAGGAAATCCTGAGAGGTGGACAACTTTGAGGTGTTTCTGGAACCAGAGATGTGATACTGGACTATTAGCGTCATCAGTAAAAAGGGGGGCTAGGGGGTTTGTTTCTTATAATCCTCGAGTGTAGGTATACTAGAGAGTTTGGACTGGGTGGGTGAGGGCAGGAATGTTGAATAAACATGTAAATGAAATGTTCTTTGTCAATAGATCTATCTTACTTTGCAGGACGAGGAAACCCTTTCTTTCCTCATCACACAAAATTAGATCTGCTATGGTGGGTTGGAGTGAGGGTTGAGTTTAAATGTTTCATGCTGTGATGTGTGACTGAAGGGTCTGAAGGTTACTACTTTAATGGTAAGTGATATGGAGTTTGGTGGAGGTTATAATGGGGTGGCTTAAGGTAATGTCATTTGTGGAAAGGGATGGACAGGCGTTGAGTTGGGGTCCACTTCTGTAGCCAGTGACCAAAGTTTCTGGAAAGAAAATGAGAGAGAGTCAGTGATTTGGTTTTGCAACCTGGCACGTATTATGCAGACATGATAAATTGACTAATGTCAAATAAGACATCTTAAAAGTAGCATTAAAGCTTAGAGAGTAGGAACGCCTTTGTCTATGCATTATATTGTTTCTTCCTCAACACAATAAATGAGAATCCTAGAGGTGGACCATTCGTCTCCCCATAGTATGGCGGCAGCGACTATTGGGTACAGTTTGAAGAAAGCTGATGAACAATGGTTTCTAGAGTGGAAATAGATTGAGGGGGCCATGTGGTGGCAACCAGTGGCCTCTGAGTACCCTTGGAACCCAACTGATGGGGTAGCACCAGTAAATAGACAAATATCTAATGGGGGTGCGAACAATCTCTGCAGAAGAAGGAACAGCCGTTCCATAGCTTAGGGAAGCAATCCATAAGCGGAGTTCATTGTGGGTGGGTTTTGAGAGAGAAATTGTGCCTTTTAAATCGTGACTTGTGGTAGGGAGCTGGAGTAGGCAAGTTTGAGGTAAATTTGCACTGTGAATTTTAGGTGGCCGAGGATAGATAACAGTATGTGTTTAATTCAAGTCTCTTTCTTATAATACAAGATAAAGAGAAATTATTCAGCCAATTTTCTCTTTAGGAAGAGAAGCTTGGAATTTGAGCAAATCGAAGTTGATGCCTAGAAATTCGATAAATGTATTGGGTCCAGCCTTCTGCGAGCAGAATACCTAGATTGGCGAAAACCTTTTGGTGATCTCTAGGTGTTTGGCTGGAGGCAATGTGGGGGGGTGATTAGAATATCATCTAAAGTTGGATAAGGTGGGGGATTCTGCGATTGTTAGAAAGAAGCCAGTGGTGGAGAATTTGCAAGTTGCACTGCTTATGGGACAAATGCGTAAACCTTGAGTGGTGGGGCAGAGAATGGTCAAACAAAGTGGTTGTCGATCTCTTTTTAAATAAGATGATCCACAATTTCTGGTTCAATCAGCAAAAGCTGACTGAATATTAGGATAGGAAGGGAGAGCTGAGGTGCCCGGGTGGAATCCATAGGTTAGACCTGAAATGAGAAAATCAGAAAAATTAGTGGTGAGAACGCAGTTCTCTAGCGAGGTGAGGAATCGACAGACATATAGTGTTTTAAATGTTTTAGTAGACGTTCATTCCCCCCCAGGAGAGTGGAGGGCCAAGGATATTGAGCATGGCTTGGCTGGTGATCTTAAAAATACCTCTTTAAAGTGGAGTAGGTGAAGTGATAAGTTTAAATTCCTGTGACATATTACGATCGGACTTCTATGAACGATGGATGCTTATTGTCATTAGGTGGGTAATTTTATTTTAGAAGTTAAATAGCTATTGGAAGTGGCAGGGTTTGTTTATTTATATGCATGTTTATTTATTTATGTTAGTTATTTGTTTAATTTATTTATTTATTTAACTTCTAAAATGATGTTGTCATTTAATTTGCACTTGAACAATACTTATTAAACTGTGTCAACTAAATGTTTACTATGGGCTTTACTTTAATCTGATTGATTAAATAACATTACATTTGGAATCTTAACATGAATGAAATCAGAAGCATAATTGGCCCAATTCATTCACAAAGTCTTTGCAACCAAGTCTGTTCATAACTATCGTAAGAGAGGGCGGGACCATCTCATGTTCTGACAGCTTGGATGGTGACACTTCTCTTTTCAGCTATTTGCTCAATGAAGTGTCAATCAAAAGGTCGGCAGCCATTTTGTTAGACCATAATACAAGTGTTTTTGTCTGAAAGATACTACTTTACTGAAAGCACTCCAGCAACAAGTTTGGATGACAGCAGTGTATCCATGTATGTTTATAAACATGTAAACATGTTGTGGACTAAAGTTTTATGGATTGGATTGCTTTGATCCTTGCAGTCAAATCAGCCAGGCTGTTAAAATGTTATGGACCTGTGAACAGACAGCAAGCTTGAAAGGTGGGTTTATTTGGTTTGTTATAATCTCTGCTTGTTTACAGATTATAGGAGGACGTTGTCCATAGTGTTTGTGTCTTTAAAATGGTTTAAATTATTTTTTATTTATGAGAGTCTTGCTTTTCTAAAGACATACGAAATATTTAGTCTTTTGGAGAGTAGTTTCTCCTTAAAGAGAGAAGTTTCCCCTTAAAGCATACTACGTTACCACAGGTGGACCGCGAAGAGCGGTGAGAGTTTGGCTTCATTGCAGTGGCTGAAGTCTCAGGGAGAGCAGGGCTCTGGTTGCAGTTGTAGATATTGTTGGTTATTTCCATATTGATGGGCTAAAAAGTGCAATGCTGTAAAAGCTTTTAGAGCTAAAGCTTTTTAGAAGCAGGAAGCTTTCTTCCAGACGAAGATAGTTGTAGAAAGGAAATGAGGATATATATAGTGGTTTGGGATCCTTTGATTGGAGGATCATAATTAGTTAATGTGGACCAGCTGGGTAAATCATGAGCACATGCTTCTCTCGAAATTAGTTTAAAACTAAACTTCACTTTGATCCTCGACTGGTCTTGCGCAGTCAAGTGATGCAATTCTACAGGTCAGAGTTTACCAAGCTTGAACTTTCCAATGCAGCGAACTGCAAAACTTGTCGTACAAGCTTGCGTTCCCGGTCTTACGTATTTGCGTGCGTATGAATGGAAGTCTGTGGGGAGAATGGTGCAGTGTGACCGCAGCTTTAGTGTGTTGAAGCAAGGTTGGAACTAAACTGTGCGGGGCTGCAGCCCTCCAGGAACTAGATTTGACACCTGTGCTCGAAAGGTTTATCTATTGGTAGGTTTTTATAAATTCTAAAACTGCACATACATCATTTTAATCTTCTGATTTCTTTCTTTAGTATGGATCTAGTGGGAGTAAATGTGATTGAGACAGCAGCTCTTGGAAGACCCTTCCAGCTGGGCATGCTGTATGACTGCAGAAAAGATGCATTAATACCAGGTGATTATTAGTCAAATCAGTCTTGAAATAAACAAAACAAATGTCTGCAGTTTTCCTGAAAATTACTTTACGCTGTATTGTATTCACCACGGGCCTCATGTACAAAGACTTGCATGGAAATCATACTAAAACATTGCGTACGGACCAAGCTGTAAATGTGTGTACACAATAAAAATGTATGAAACACTGCATACGCGGAATCACACGCATATTCTGTTTGTACATCTGAATGAACGTGAAACTGAGCGCACGTGCATGAGCACAAAACCCCTCCCTGCCTCCTCCCCCTAATAAATATGGTAATGACTCTACTTTGGCAAAACCAAATGAAAAAGCAATGGCAAAAGCAAACAAGAAGAGAAACTTCACAGAATGTGAATGTGAGGTGCTCCTATCAGAGGTCGACTGGAGAAAAACTGGGCTATTTGCAAGTTTGTCCTCCAGAATTAATAACAAAAGAAAAAAAAATCGAGTGTGAGAGTTTAGCTGATGCGGTTGACGCAGTAGGGTCTGAACATCGCACTGTGAATGAATTAAAAAAAAAAAAGGTCCGATGTGAAGGTGCAGGTTAAGAGGAGAACAGGGACACACCTGTGGAGCGAACAGACGGGGGGACAGGGCATCCTGAACTAACACCCTTTAAGGAGAGAGTTGCCTCAATTGTGGGCGACACTTTACTGTTTGGATTAGTATCAACCTTTTTCAAACTGCGGACCGGTCAACGCTTGACAATTTTACTGCAGACCGGGGGGTTGAAATAATAATAATAATAATAACAAACATGAATCCACTGTGAACTCATAGGGAACTTTATTAGCACATTGCTCCGACATTACAATGCTATTATAACATTAGGAAGTAATAACTTTATTAACACATTGCTCCAACAATATAACATATTATAACATCAAAAACTGTCCGTAAGGCTAAATCAATGGGAGCTTGTTTCTTTGCACGGTCCCATCTAGGCGTAATGGCAGAAGGAAGATTGCCGGAAAGAGCGCGTGCACGTCTAGAACGTGCTGACGTGAGACGTCTGCTTTAGCCAATCAGAACAGTCAGACGCATTCACGTCCACGAGGTTTATGAGAATAAAAGCCTTTGAATATTTTTCCAGACACATTTAGCTGCTAGAAATTAGGCAGATAACGTTTTTATGTTCTTCTTAATGGCAACCGTGTAATTAATTATCGATAAGAAGCTTATGATAAGCCGTTGTTTGTTTACCTTCAAGCTCTGAACTTTTCACATGCAAAAGTTTCTCTGTGTTTTCATCGAAGTTGTTCTCAATACTGATCCAATCACAAAGTTTGTAATGTAGTGAGATGTTTACAAATACAAGCGCAGCCGTTTAGAGCTCATTTCTGGTTAATGATGTCAGAATTACCGGTGTAATTCCGTAACGTCCGTGCCTGTGTGAACAGCGCTTTTTTGAATATACCGGTAAAGTCGTTCCGGAAATTTTCCATATATTTACTGATATCACTGTGTGAAAGGGGCTATTGACACCCGAAGGTGTTGGTTGTGTCCAGTCTACTCCTTTCCCTTGTTTTGGTGGCTGTCACTGCAGAAAACTCCGCTTTACATAGATAGGATGCTGAGAATGGCAACAGGGTTTTCAGCGCTGTGTTAGCGATCTCTGGGTTTTCTGCCATGACTTTAATCCAGAACACCGGCAGAGTTGTTGTCTCGAACACTGTTTTAAGGCCGCCATCATTTGCGATCTCCAGCAGTTGGTCATGCTGGATTCAGCTGGTTTGTTGACAAATGGGTCACATATCTATTCCTTGGCCGTTTGTGGGTCCTTTGAGGTTGGGAAGTAGCGTTCAAACTCCTTTAACAGCGAAGACTGGTGGTCGTGCACCAGCTTGGCAAATGAGGGCGCAGGCTCAGTCACACACAAAATCCACGCTAATGTTTGAAACATGTCCATTATGGCTCTGTTCACTTGCCGTCCCCACAAATCCAGCTTGGCTTTAAATGCAGCTACTTTATCTGCCAACTTAAAAATAATTAATTCTTGTGCGGCTCGGTACTGATTGATCCATGGACCGGTACCGGTCTGCGGCCCGGGGGTTGGGGACCACTGTATTAGAGGAACACTTTGTTAGGGCGGTATAGCAGCACCCCTCCGCTCTTATCAAGGCAGCGCCACCGGCATTTTATCTGCAAGAGTGTGAGAATGGCCATCATTGTATCTGTGCTCTTGGTCAGTTACTGGGTTGTTGAGGGGGGTTAACAGCCACATCTTTAATGGATAACCGTGGTCTCCTGACATGTAGTTAAATAACTACGCTCAATAAAATAAAATAAAAAATTTAGTTGGAATAATATCTTTAAATACATCACTCACCAAGAAGCCACCCATCGTGCACCCTGCCACCTTGGAGCCTCCTCGCTGTCTCTCGTTCCCAATTTGGACCCAACTTAGCACAGAGCTCCAAGAGGATAGCTCTTGGAAATCTGAAACGGGTAATAAGCCAGTCATCTTTGTGGGCCAGAAAATCACTGTGATCCCTAAAAACTCATTCCCTTCTGATTTGACCATTGTCAATGTCCTCTAATAAGCCATTGACATAGACTAAGGGTTGTATACATATGCAAATGCTTTTATATGTTCTAAATCACATAATTGGTAAAAAAAAAAATATTGTGTCAATTAACCCATTTGATATAGCAATGTTTTCCAGGTGTTGATACTTTATAATGTGCAATTTAACATAACTGCCTCTAGAAGTCGCCAATGGAAATAAAGCAAACACACACATGAAATACACGTATGCCAGACATGAACTTGGCATGGACCAATGCACATTCTCATGTTAATTTCATTGTTAGGAAATCCAAACGTGAGTGTGAAACTTGGCGTACACAAAGTTTTTGTGCGTACGCAGTGTTGATACATGAGGCCCCAGTTGTTCCCCAGAACTGGAGTTGAGAACCACTGTTCTAGACAAATCATAACCAATCAAACAAACATTATATTTTTACTTTATTTGTCTTGAACCAACATCAGTCAACATTAAAATCTGTTTTAAATATGAACTGCAATTGTAATTATTTTATATTTGTCTCCTCACAGGGGTCAGACTGTGGAATAAAGAGCAGCTGCTGCAGAATATTTGTGCTCGTCCTCAAGTTAATACAGAGTTCGATGTCACAGAATCAGACACCATTAAGGAGAAATCCAAATTACTCAACATTAATGGTGAACTGAAACTGAGTTTTTTAGGTGATCTTATTCATGTTAGTGGAGCAGCAAAGTATCTCAAGGACACCAAATCATCCTTCATTCAGCAGAGACTCACTCTACATTATAAATCAACCAGCCGGTTTGAAGAACTAACAATCATTGATGCACTGAATAAATCACCCTTTGGAGAAAATCTTCCTGATCCTAATGGTATAGGCACACATGTGGTCACAGCAATACTGTATGGAGCAAATGCCTGTTTTGTATTTGATAGAGACGTTTCCAAAGAAGAGGACGAAAGCAACATAAAAGGAGAAGTAAAAGCGGCTCTTGAGAAACTACAGAGCATCGTGTCAGTCGGTGCAAAGGCTAAAATTACCAGCAATGAGAATCAGAAAGATGCTGTCAATAAATTCACATGCACATTTCATGGAGACTTCCAGCTACCGTTTAACCCCACCACTTTTGAAGATGCATTGCAGGTTTTTGCTGATCTTCCAAAACTTCTGAAAGAAAGCCAAGAGCTGGCAGTGCCACTGAGAGTTTGGCTTTATCCTCTGAACAAACTTCACTCAAAAGCTTCAAAACTTCTGAAAGACATCAGCATGGAACTGATCACAGAGATTGAATCAGTGATTGAGAGTTTGAACACAGCTGAGATGAAGTGCAGTGATCTTCTGAAAGACTCTCCTGTTCAAGTATTTGCACCATTTAAATGTAAAATAGAGCAAATGAAACAAAACTGCTACTTGTATAAGCTGAGGCTTATGAACAAACTTGGCTCCCTGCTGCCAAACATTCGTGGAGACGTGATGAAGGAAACTGAACTGAACAAACTTCTACAAGAGCATGAAGCGTCTCCATTCAGAGGAAGTGACCTCACAGAATGGCTGAAAGAGAGAGAAAGAGAGTCTGAGATCATTGAAACTATCCTCAAACAGCTGAAGGATGTTAAGATACAAGTCAACATAGACGCCATCAGGATGAATCTGGAGGTCGGGAATCTGGTCAGTTACACATTCACATCATTGAACTGCTCAGATTGGCTTCTATTTCAACAAACTGCCTATCTGAATCCAACAAAACAAGAAACTGATGAGAAACGCCCTGATTTTAAAGAAAAGTGTTGGCTCACTAATGATGTTTTAAAGGTCATGAGGATAAACTTAAAGTTATTTAAGGACTTGATTGATTCAGAAGACCTTAAACCAACTACATTCATAGTGTCCTCAAAGGAAATGGAGAGTAACCCAGGATCCTGCATCCTCCTGTATGAAAGTGACCATGATGAAGCTGTTTTCTTCAGTCCTCCATCACAGCCTGTCTGTCCAGTCATTGAAGAGCTCAGGGAAAACTCTGTGGTTCTGCAGGTTCCTCCATCATCAGATCCTCATACAGTGGAGCTCAGATTACTATATAAACCACAGCAGGACTCAGTCTGGATGTCTCAAGCAGTGCTGAAGGATCAACACACAGTTACTCTGACTGATCTGAGAACAGAAACTGAGTATGAGTTGAAATGTGCAGCGCTGGGGAAACTGAACTACACCAGAGAAAGTGATGTGATCCATCTGAGGCTCATTGAGAAGACACTCATCACCAGAATAGAGTCTGTGATTGAAAATCTGGGCAGTATTGAAAACAAGTGCAGTGAACTTCTGAAAGACATCAGGACAAACACATTTAGTGCTTTTCACAAGAAGTTTGAAGATATGAAGCAATTCTGCCAAATCTATAGACGAGACTTCAATGATAAAATTCAGTTGCTGATCCAGTCAGTTCAAGCTTGTGAAAAAGAGACTCGTGTTTTGACTGATCTTCTACAAACTCATGAAGAGTCTCCATTTAACACAAAGAATCTGATGGAGTGGATCAGACTGAAAGAGACAGAACTAAACACAGTTGGAGGGATTCTTCAACAGTTACTGGAGTCTGGAGCTGAAGAGAACACAAGCTTAGATACAGTTTTCACAAATATTAATGTGAAGAATGTGGTTTGCTACACATTTAGTTCCCTTGAGCAGCCAGACCAGCTGCTTTCTCAACTAGATCACCATCTTAACTCTCAGGAACTCAGGACTTGGAAGAATCCAGAAAATTCTCCTCAATCAATGACATGGCTCACTGGAAACATCAGGGAGAACATGAGGGAACAGCTTATCATCTTTAAGGAGCTGATGAGGTCACATGACAGTCCGTCTGTTAAATTTATTGTTTCCACACAAGATTACAAAGCCCATCCAGGCTCCTGCATCCTCCTGTATGAAAGTGACCATGATGAAGCTGTTTTCTTCAGTCCTCCATCACAGCCTGTCTGTCCAGTCATTGAAGAGCTCAGTGAAAACTCTGTGGTTCTGCAGGTTCCTCCATCATCAGATCCTCATACAGTGAAGCTCAGATTACTATATAAACCGCAGCAGGACTCAGTCTGGATGTCTAAAGCTGTGCTGAAAGATCAACACACAGTTACTCTGACTGATCTGAGAACAGAAACTGAGTATGAGATCAAATGTGCAGCGCTGGGGAAACTGGACTACACCAAGGAGAGTGACACAGTCATATTAAAACAGGTATTATTTTATCATTAACATTTAGTGAATTATTTTAAGCGTATTGAGCTACTATACCTTATACTCTTAAGAGTACTTATATGGTTGGCACAAACTGTTCACTCAATGTTTAATTCATTGTTAATGAGAGTCATATGTCTCTTTCAGCAAAGCACAAGGAAAAGTAAGGGTGAGTCATACATTTTTCTTCTTTTTATTGTTTCTACACCAGCACTATGCAACTACAAGCTGTTAATTTGCATATAATTGCACATGTTTTAAATTGAAAAGCCCTGGAATATTTTACCTTCTATTTTAACATATGTTATAAATTAACATATCATTACAATTAATCATTACATGCCAAAAAATATAGTGTAAGTAAAACTATTTGTTCTAATTAATACTTTCAATTAGAGTTTTGTTTGTGTTTGTGAGTTTGTTGAGTAAAAGTAGCCCTTCTGAAAGTTCTCGGAGTATAATGTGAAAATGATACTACCTTATACACTGCGGATTAAATATGTAGCTTACATCTGTGCCATTTTCCTTTAAGGGTGTTTTTGATTGGATCTAAGTGGAAGTTAAACCATTTGCTACAAAGTAGCTCATTTATCAGCTGGAGATTTGGCCTCCTTTTTCACTTAAATTAGCAGTCTGTTTCCCACCACATTCAACCCACATCTCCATCAAACTACACCCTCTGAAGTAAATTCACTCTCCTGCTTCTCCCTCCTTACAGAGGGGGAAGTATCCAAACTTCTTTCTGCCCATCCCACAACCTGCCCACTAGACCCAATATCCGCACACATCCTGCAGGACATTTCCACGGCCACTTTACTCCACACTGGCACATTCCTAACCACTTTTAAGCAGGCCTGGGTAACCCCGCTTGCTATTTGCACCAGACATTTTTTTACAATCACTCCATAGTGGACTTGACAAACCACCTGTAGAAACACTCTTCTCTCTATATAAAAAAAAACATTTCCCAATCTTTTCTGTAACAAAATTTTGTCCCTTTTTATTATTAGCACGTCTTGTGTATATCGCACTTTCTTATTGAATCACTCAGTGCCTCCTAAAATGTAAGTTGACAATGTAAATGTAATAGTGACCCCAGATTAAAGAAAAATAGTGGAGGAAAATGCTTAAATACTACTTTTCTGCATAATCCTTAATAGGTGTCAATACAACATATGTGTAGTTTCATGTCATGCAGTAATACAAAATATTTTTGGTGCAACATTTTTTATTAAAATTTTATCTAGAATGAATTCTAGATAAACACACGTAAACACACACAGGAAGTCAGTGTAAACTAGATATTGTAATTGAACCTTAAGAGCTTTCCTCGGCTCCATAGCTCTCAAGTTTACCAGGCATTCCACTTGAGAGCCCTGGAATCAAAAACCTAAGATTTCATTGACCCTGCAGAAGAAAGACTGGTCCGAAACTTCTGGAGCAAGGCGATCCATTTAAACTCCTGAGTTATCTTTGGTAGAGGAAGAGAAGGGTTTAAGCAATGTGGTACCTGATGGAGAGCTGGAGTTTGTAGGACACCTCATTGATCTGCCTCTCCACAGTGAACCACGTAGAGGAGGCTCAGGTTCAGAGAGCTTTAGAGAAACAGTCTACTGTAACAAGAATACAGGTGAAACCATTAGAGTTAGTCTGTTACAAGCCCTATACCAATATGGGACCAAGGCCATTGTGGAGCAGGTAATGGGATGAGATTACCTGCAGGCACAAATCTTGGTGTTTTAAACATGGCACTGACTGAGCAGATACTAATGTACCTGATCATGATTATTGAGACTCTTTGTCTTCACTTGAAGTCTTTGTTGGACTCTTTGTACATGGAACACTGGAGACAATGAAGACACAAGGATAATCCACGACAATAAGAGCACACAGGAACAATTGGGAAAAATATTGAGTCTGGTGAGTTAGTGGTGGTGAACTGTAGACTGGACGGTGAGTACCAGGATGAGTGTCTTGTTGTTAAAAAGGCTAGGTATATTTTGCCATTCTGATTTGACAGAATTAACAGCTGGGTTGCCAACGCCATTACTAATGATGTCATAGTGCTTTAGGTCATTGTCATATAGAAAGACCCAGCTACGAACCATCTTTAATGCTCTGACTAAGGGGAGGAGGTTTTTACCCAATATCTCACAATAAATGGCCCTGTTCATCCTCTCCATTATATGGTGCAATTGTCCTGTCCCCTGTGCAGAAAAACACCCCCAGAGCATGATGCTTCCAGCCCCATGCTTCACTGTAGGTATGGTATTATTATTGGGATGATACTCATCATTCTTCTTCCTCCAAATGCGGCAAATGGAGTTCAGACCAAAAAGTTCTACTTTGGTTTCATCTGACCACTGGATTTTCTCCCATGACTCCTCTGGATCATCCAGATGGTCCCTGGCAAACTTCAAACAGGCCTTGACATGGGCTGACTTAAGCTAGGGAACCTTCCTTGCGATTCATGATTTTAAACCATGACGTCTTAATGTATTACTGATAGTTGTCACATAACCAGCGATCGCTGTCAAAAGATCGCTGGTTCTCACACGAACACCATGGACTATATTTCCGCCTTCCTCTGGACTGCATAGACATACATACTCTCCGGTCACACTCACACATGCTCACTCATCAAGATTGATTACACTCTCACCAGCTGAGCCATGTCAGAGACTGATGACACAACCTACATAAACCACTCATTCACTCTTCCAGTTTGCAGAGTCTTGTTAGCTGTATCAGTAGCATTACAAAGCGTATTCCCTGCCTTGTTTCTTGTGTTTAGACCTTAGCCTTGCAATCCCTGTTATCCTGTTTAGCCGCCTGCATTACGATTTATTTACTGCCTGAATATACCCGTTTGACCATTGCTTGCCTGACGCTGAATAAACCTGCAGAGGGGGGCTATAGAGAGCAAGACCCGCTGGCAACGGGGCTTGCGACCCATTTTACACAGCCAGCTCACAAGATGGCTTCCTGTCCCAAGTCTGTTCCTGCTTCTGAAAGGCCATCTCCAGAGCTGCCAGACCCTCCAGTGCTGCCAGATCATCCAGAGCTGCCAGATCCTCCAATGCCGCCAGAACCTCCAGAGCTGCCAGATCCTCCAGAGCTGCCACTGCCAGAGCTGCCAACGCCAGGGCTGCCACCGCCAGAGCAGCCAGTGCCACAGCCAGAGTTGACGCCGCAGCCAGCGCAGCTGCCAGAGTCGACGACGCTGCCAGAGTCGCCGCCGCCTAAGCTTCCCGAACGGCCACGGCTCCCCGCCTTGCCGGTCACAACCCAGGTCCTCGCCTTGCCGATTCCAGCCCGGCTCCTCGCCCTGCCAGCTCCCCACAAGTCTCCAGTCCTGCCGGCTTCCCGTAGTACTCCAGGTCCTCCGAAATCTCATGATCCAGGGCCACTGCAGCTCCATGCTCCAGGCCCTCTGCAGTTCCACTCTCCGGGTCCTCTGCAGCCCCTCGCTCCAGGCTCCTCACAGCTCCACGCTCCCGGCCTTCCCCAGCTCCATGATCCAGGGCCACTGCAGCTCCACGCTCCAGGCCCTCCGCAGCTCCACTCTCCAGGCCTTCCGCAGCTCCAGGCCCTCCGCAGCTCCATGCTCCAGGCCCTCCGCAGCTACACTCTCCAGGCCTTCTGAAGCTCCATGCCCCTTAGCCTTGATTTCCCTGTTATCCTGTTTAACCGCCTGCCTTACGACCTAAAAAGGAGGTTAGGAGAGAACTGTTTAGGTAGCTAGCTTGAAGCCAGTGGTGCTGTCGGTAAGAACAGAGGTCCAGTCTAGTCACTATTTAGTTGTGTTTATTAGCATCAACAAGGATTTGTACTCAGGAGGAAATGTGTGTATGTGTGTGTTTGTGTGTCTGTGAGTGTGTGTGTGGGTTATTGTGTGTGTGTGGTTTTCTGCAAGGAAATAACAGAAATACAATGTCTCAGTAATCAGTAAGGAAATAACAGAAATACAAATGCTTCAGTTTACCAACAAACAAAGTACATAACTAAACAGAAATATGGCAAACACGAAACATGAGCATTTAAGTCAACTTAAATCATACAAAAGCCACTTACATGGTCAAATACGCACACACAGGAAAACAAAGGAGATCAAATTCAGTCCTCTGCACAGTTCAGCCATGTGCTGCTGGAGAATAGCAAACTGTGGGCACAGGTGCAGTTAATAAAGCCCTTGAGGCAGTCCTGATTGGCCAGAGACTGAATGAGGTGATTGGAGTGTACCATAATCGGAGCAGGGGTGTGACACTAAATCTGCTGTTTAGGAACAAAACTTCTCAACAGCCGCCCCAAAATTTGTAATGCAAATTTGACAGTTTAAGAAGGATCAGGTGAGGCTGGGAGAGGAACTAGGCGGGCAATGGGCCTTGTGTGGATCCGATCCTTAACCTGAACATCAGCAATCCTATAACAGCCATCCTTGCTTGGATGGAGGGAGATTACCTTTCCTACTGGCCACTGAGACCGGGGAAGTTGGGGATCAAGAATAAGAACAACAGTGTTAGGTTGTAAGTTAGGCTTGTCAGTGCGCCACTTCTGTCTGGACTGAAGCGAGGGGAGGTAATTTCTGAGGAAATGAGCCCAAAAATTATCAGAAAGGATTTGACTATGACGCCATTGACGGCGACTGCACAGTTCAGAGTCAGGGTATGTTACGAGAGGAAGGGAAGCATCGTGCCACCCCATGAGAAGCAAATTAGGGGTCACAGGGTCAGGATCAGCAACATCAGTTGACGCATATCCTAAGGGCTTAGAGTTTAGAATGCCTTTGATTTCAATCATGACTGTGCGTAGTACCTCTTCACTAACCGTTTGAGCACCTAGGGTTGATTCCAGGGCAATTTTGATGGAGCGTATTTCACGTTCCCAAGTTCCACCAAAGTTGGGTGCACGTGGAGGATTTAATTTGAAAGTAATTCTCTGTTTGGCCAGGGTTATCTGAAGGTCATTGGTTAGGGAATGATAGGCTTCCAATAACTCTTTATTACCTCCAGTAAAGTTGGTTCCTCTGTCTGAAAGCAGCTTGGCTGGTTTCCCTCTACGAGCAACAAAACACCTGAGTGCCATCAGGAAGGAGTCTGTGTTCATGTGACAGAGTAGATCAAGGTGTATACATCTAGTAGTCAGACATTTGAAAATGATTCCCCATCTTTTCTCAGCTCGTCTGACAGTTTTTACCGTATAGGGCCCGAAGCAATCTACCCCCGTTGAGTAGAATGGAGGTTTGCAAAGGCGTAGACGGTCTGGAGGAAGATCAGCCATTCTGGAAATAATAGGATGAGTACGGAACTGCTGGCATTTAGGGAACTTATGTTGGTGTTTACGGACCATCTCACGACCCCTTAAGATCCAGAACTTTCTCCTTAATTCAGCAAAAAGTCTTTCTGCTCCAGGATGGTGTAAGTGATCATCATAATCCTTAATTATGAGTTTTGTTATAGGATGTGCAGGATCCAGGACAATTGGGTGAATGGTATCAGGAAGTTAATCACTACTCTGACGTAGATTTCCGCCTACTCGAATGAGTCCTAATGTAGGATCTAATTTAGGGGCAAGGGAGAGTAAATGGCTTGAAGATAGAAGGGGCTTTTGGTTTTGAAGGCAGGCCAAATCGTCCTTAAATGATTCTATCTGGGCTCGTCTTAGGATGGCAGTCTCTGCATCATGGTAGTTTTCTGCTGATGAAGGGTTTGCTGCCCCCTGAAGGGAGGTAGCTGTGCAGTCAAGGAGGTCTTGAAAAGTGGCAAATTGACTGGGGTCAGGGACAAAGGGGTATTAGGGGCATAGAAACTGGACTTGCGCAGCTCTACAGGGTCATCAGACTGATCTACATTGGGGTTAATGGGCCATAGTTCAAATGGTTGAGACAGAAAGGCAGGTCCTTGATTCTGCCTACAGGGCTTGCCAAGGTCAGTTAGCAGCTTTCCTTTAGTTAGCTCATCCGCTGGGTTGCTTTTTGAATTCACATAATGCCACTCCTGGCCCTTAGTGAGTTCCTGAATCTCAGCAACCCTGGTTCCAACAAAGATCTTGTAGCGGCAAGAATCAGAGAGCACCCAACAGAGAACGGTCATGGAGTCAGTCCACAAGGTAGTCTTTCTGATATGGAGGGTGAGTTCTGTTCGTAGGAGATTAGCTAGCGGAGCTCCTATGAGAGCAGAACATAATTCAAGTCGTGGAATGGATAGCCGTTTTTTGGGGGCAATGCAGAACCTTGCCATGAGGAAAGACACATTTACCTGCTGATCATCTTCTGTACGCATGTAAGCAACTGCACCGTAGGACTGCTCTGATGCATCACAGAAGACGTGAAGATCGTGGATGGCTGAGGTGGGGTCTACAGACTGTGTGATGCAGCGAGGTAAAGTGATGGTGGAAAGGGCAGGTAATTCACCTTCCCATGAAAGCCAAGCTTCCTGGAGATTATGAGGAAGATTTGGATCATCCCAATCTCGTGTCTTTCCCCATAATAGCTGTACAATAATTTTGGCTCTTGTAGTAAAAGGAAGGATATAGCCAAGAGGATCATATTGGCTAGCAAGAACTCTGAAAAGGTGACGCATGGTTGGGGTAGTAGGTTCAATTGCTCTGTGCCTGTATCTGAGGATGTCTTTGTTGCAGTTCCAGTGAAGGCCTAATGTGGATTCTGAGGGATCAAGAGATGGATGGTGTGATAACCTGAGCTCCGTTTGTTCTGACCTGGCTGCAGGAGGTAGGTCACTGATAACTTGAGGATCATTACTGGCCCATTTTCTGATTTCAAAGCCACCAGAGGAGAGGACAGTGCGTAGGTTCTGTAGGAGATCTTTGGCTTCCTCTGGAGTGGGTAGACTTTGGAGGCAGTTATCCATATAAAAGCAATTGTGTATGGAATGGCTAATGAACTCAGCTGCCTGTGCATCTTCGATGATCTTTTGGAGGATGTAAATAGCACAGCAAGGGCTTGAGGTCTTGCCAAAGGGCAGAACATGCCATTCATATACAGATGGAGGTGCTCTACAGTCCAGGTCACGCCAGAGGAATTGCAGAAGAGGTTTATCCTGAGGTAATAGGTGTACCTGGTGGAACATTGATTTGATGTCTCCACTTATTGCTGTTTTTTACTGCCTGAAACAAAGTAGAACTCCAAGGAGGGAAGGCCCAAGGATGGGGCCAGGAAGTAACTGGGAATTCAGACACTGATTTTGGTAGGAAAAGGAACAGTAAAATACAATCCGCTCTTTACCGTTGTGATGCACAAGGTGGTGGGGTATGTACCAGGACACAGGGGCATTCTCCACTTCAGAGGAGGGCAACTCCTTGACATACCCAGCATCAATTAGGTTTTGGATCTCTCTGGTATACGTCCTTGCTTGTTGTGGCTTTTGAAGGAGCCGCTTTTCACAGCTACGAAGACGGGCCATAACTGCCTCCTTGGAGGCCTTTGAAGGGGGCCAGGGTTCTACACGGAGAAGAGGTGCTGCATATCATAGTACGCCATCAACGTGTTCGGATAGTTTGGGTGTCAAGTTGGTGCATTGCCATTTGATCCTGATTAGATCGAGTCACCAGTTTAGTGCTTTTCTGAGGAAGTGCATCCAGCTGCCACAGCTTTTGTACATTGTGGTAGATGTCATCAGGTGGGCATTAAAGAGGGATATAGTGAAAGCTAGTCCCCGTACTGGCCACCACATGGTCCTTCGAGCCGGAGCTCATTGAATATCAGTGGATATGCTTAGTCACTCCCTGCCCTCATTGTCTCAGCATGAGCGCCCACGCCGCAAGATTCAGCTCCCTGCACGTTATGATGATTTCATCCTGCAATATATCATCAGCAGCCACGCTCTACAGCAGAAACCCAGCAACCTCTTGATTCAACGGATATGCCTGGCACTGGCCCTTACTATCAACCTTGGAGGAAAGAGGAATTCGAGGATGGTTCAGATGAGCCAGACAAGCCTATGGAGGACAATCAGGAGGATGCTCCACACTCTACACGCTCCTACTCACTCAACCTATATGAGGGAGCACAAACCCCTAATGCTGAACACCCCTTTGCTTCCACAATGGCTCCTGTTTCTGATGCTCAGACCACCCTGTTACAGCAGTTAATAAAGAAAGGTAGAAATCAGGGTAGATTAATACAGCAGTGCATGCTTAAAACTAGTATCCTTTCACCTCCGCAACAGCTTCGATCTCCTCTAAGCCATGCACCTCCGTGAACTGAACTGAGCCAATAGCCCTGGACCTCCAGCTCAGAGGCTGAAAAACCTCCGCGTTCAAAGTAAAAAGGTTTCAATAGCCAGGAGATTAATGACAACACACACTAATGTTCACTAACCACAAACAAAAAATAGAACTGTGGTATTTTTTATTTGATGATGTTTTGAGGGCGAAAAGTGTGTTGTAACTCAAGCGTTACTGAACATGTAACGAGTAAAATATTACTGAAAATGTGTTAGTAATGCCTTACACTACTGCGTTACAGAAAAATTTAATACATTACTGTAATACATTACTTTTGTAACGCATTACTCCCAACACTGATTATATATGTTATACGAATTGCAATTGAATTTTTTGTTATATATTTCCCTTTTGTTTCTAGAAAATAACACACACACATACATTCCTTTATGACTAAATAAATTCTGTAACAAATCAGCTAACTACAAAACCTGACTTTTGCATTCTTACTGACGCCCCCTGGTGATCACATCTCAAATAGAACAGCCAGTGCCATTTAACAGACTCACCAACACTTATTGTGAATTGAGGGAGAGATAATCCAGGAGACTTTTCAAGTATCTTCAGAGTAGAATATTTTATTGAGAACTCACCGTTGTTGTGTTCATCATTGATAAATCTAAACTAGTGCATTTAATTTAAATACATTTTTGAAGGCAGTGATTCATAAAGGCGAAGACTAATCTAAATAAAGCATGCAAATGAAGCACAGGAGTCAGCCATGTAAACGGCATTTCCCCAGTCCTTATCTCATCAACAAAATAGTAACCATTCAGATGCAAAGGGGTTAATCCAGTCAGCCATTTGGGACCCTGCCTGATGGTCAGGAAATGCATAAAGACAATAGATTAAGTGTTTCCAACATTTGGCCTGGTATAGCTATTCAATGAAATTAGATTTTTAAAAACCAAAGAATATAACTTTTCAGTTATTCATTCATTCTCTTACCAGCTTAGTCCCTTTATTAATCTAGGGTCACCACAGTGGAATGAACCACCAACTTATCCAGCACCTGTTTTACACAGCGGATGCCTTCCAGCTGCAACCCATCACAGGGAAACATTCATACACCCTCATTCACACTCAAACACTACGGACAATTTAGCTTACCCAATTCCCCTATAGCACATGTGTTTGAACTGTGGGGGAAACCGGAGCACCCGGAGGAAACCCACGCGAACACAGGGAGAACATGCAAACTCCACACAGAAACGCCAACTGACCAGCGACCTTCTTGCTGTGAGGTGAGCATGCTACCCACTGTGCCACCATGCAGCTCTTTTCAGTTATATATACCATTTTTAATTTGGAACCAGATTATACGAATTTCCACAGTGTCATATATAATGGTACCAATCAGGGTGCTCACAGGTGACAGGGCTTGTAGCACAGGTGAGGGGGATCTGGGGTGTGGGGAGTCCATGTCAGCGTGATGGGTCCCTGGATTGAATGACACCAAATGTTTATACATTTTAACATATTTTCACTGTATTTGTACTAAATTTAATGAAATGGCCAAGTCTACATCCTGACCAGTGTTTTAAGTACTGTTGTTTTACATACAAATCTGTTGTTTGAGGGTAAGTGCACTACTGTTTTAATGGTGTTTGACAGTTTCATATTTGATGATCTTTGTGTTTATCTCATCAAACATGTTCTGCTCATTGTGCTAAAGTTCCGTGTTTGTTTGCTTTTTTCAGACTATGCTTTGATATAGAAATATTTATTTTTATTAATTATAGTTGTTTTTACTTACAGGATTTTTTATGTCCTTACAATAATAAAAGGATATTAAAACCAACCACATCAGATTATTGTTAAAATACAATTTAAATTATTTTATCATGTATTCTATGACACCTTTAAACATTACGTTGCAACATTACGTTATTTTTGAACTGCAACTCAAATAAGCTCTAAATGGAAAATTTTCCAGATTGAAAAGTAAAAGTGTTACTGTCTGAATTGCTTTTGCTCATTACAGAAATATGTATCTCACAGGAAAACCCAAGCAGATCTTGGTGCTATGTGGAAGTGATGCAAAACTGAAGAACTCAATATCAAATCTTATAAGAGGAAAAAAGAAAAGCCTTACTCACTCACAACCAAGAAATCAAAATGAAGAGGAGAGTTTGAGGACAGATGTGGATCTTTATGGTCGTCAGATCAGTCTTGTGAATCTTCCAGCTCTCACTCGTCTCTCAGAGGAGGAAGTGATGCATCAGACTCTCCGCTGTGTGTCTCTCTGTGATCCTGGAGTTCATGCTTTCCTCATCATTATTCCTGTTGGTCCACTGACTGTTGAAGATAAAGCAGAAATAGAGAAGATCCTGAAGATATTTGACTCTAGAGATCACTTCATTCTGCTCTTCACAACAGAGCTTCCTGTTGAAGGATTTGTGACAGATTTTGTTAACATCTACACTGATAGTCAACAGTTGATCAGTCTTTGTGGAGGTCAGTACAGTGTGATTGGGTTAAAGAAACCTGAAGACTCAACACAGATCCCAGAACTGCTGGAGTATATAGAGAAGATGAAGACTGAACCATATTCATTTCAAATGTATGTGAAAGCTCAAGAGAGCAGAGTCAGATGTGAAACAGAGGAGAAATGTAAAGAAAAACTGATTAAAATGGAGAGTAAAATCAAACAACTGGAACAGACATTTCAGACATACTGTAAGTAGTAGTTTTATTCATAATTCAGTCCATTATTCATTTAATTTCTGTCTACATCAACACAGAATTTGTGATTTGGCTGTGATTATTTGTCATATTTTTGTATCTGACAGTGTTGATGACCATATTGTTGTTGAGGTTAGGAGAAAATATTTAGTGAGAAGCAGCAGACATGTTAAATCAATTTGTTTTTCTCTATAAAATCTCTAAATCAACATATTATCAAGATTTAACCCTGAAAGTTTATTTTTATTTTTTTTCCATTATGTATATTGTTGTCACAGTAATCTACTTAATAATTTTGTTAAAGTATAAGGTAATCTTTAGCCCAGTGTCAGTGAACAATTCTCATTTAGACAGTAACAAAACGTCTAAATGCATTTAAACCATAATAATTCCCAATTTTACAGAGACCCAATCTCATAACCTGTTAAATCATACAAAGCAAAGCATTTATCTGCTTTTACAGCTGATACAGACAGATTTATTATCAGGAAATGTTATTTATTAAACATTTGTTTTTAAATTGTTTATAAAAGTCTTATTGAGATTACTTTGATCTGTTTATATAACAAAAACAACAACAACACAGTAAAGAACTAGAAACTCATTAATCATTGACCCGTCTATAATTTCAGTTGCTGAACGTTTAGAAGATCTGCAGTGTCTGAGGATTGTGCTGATTGGAAGAACAGGAAGTGGAAAGAGTGCAACAGGAAACACTATTCTGGGAAGAGAGGAGTTTTACAGTAGAATGAGTACAAATTCTGTGACGACTGTCTGCAAGAAAGGAGTTGGAGAAGTTGATGGTCGATCAGTAGCTGTTGTTGATACTCCAGGGCTCTTCGACACAACACTGACAAATGATCAAGAGGTGGAAGAAATAATGAAGTGTGTTTCACTGTCAGCTCCTGGACCTCATGTGTTTGTCATTGTGTTGAGTTTGGGAAGATTCACCAAAGAGGAGACAGAAACTATAGATCTGATCAAGAAGATATTTGGTCCACAAGCTGCTCAGTTCAGCATCGTTCTGTTTACCAGAGGAGACGAACTCAAAGATCAATCTATAGAGGATTATCTGAAGAGAAGCAAATTTGCAGAACTCCAGAAACTGATCAGAGATTGTGGAAACAGATTCCTGGTGTTCAATAACAGAGAAAAACAAGACAGAACTCAAGTGATGAAGCTGTTAAAGATGATTGAAGAGGTGAAGAGTAATAACCAGGGTGGATACTTCACTAATGAAATGTTTGAGGAGGCAGAAATGTCCATTAAGAAGAAGATGGAGGAAATCATGAAAGAGAGAGAAAGAGAGATTCAGAAACAGAGAGAAGAGTTACAAGACAAATATGAGGAGGAGATGAAGAACATGAAGAAGAGACTCGAGGAAGAAAAACAAAGAGCAAAAGAGGAGAGAAAGAAAATGGAGAATAAACTGAAGCTGAAAGAGGAAAAACTCAGAAAAGAGTTTGAAGAGAAGGAGAAAACAGATCAGAAGAAAAGAGAGATTGAAAACCAGAAACGGTTAGAAGAGGAAAAACAGCAGAGAGCTGAATATAATCAGAGAATAGAAGAAATGATGAGAGAGATCGACAATCAGAGATCACAGTATGAACAACAGCAGAAAGAAAGAGAAGAAGAAGACAGAAAGAGAGAAGAGAAATACAGACAAGACCAAGACAAGATGAAAAGTGAACAAGAGCGAATTATAGCAGAATTAAAGAGGAAACATGAAGAAGAAACAAAACTGAGAGATTTAGAGAAGAAAAGAAGAAATGAAGAAGAAGAGGGGGAGAGACAGAGGTGGAAAAGAAGAATAAAAGAAGCTGAAAATGACAGAAAAGAGATTCAAGAGGAAATTAAACGACAGCAGAGAGAATGGGAGGATGAGATGAAGAGAAGGTTTAGAGAACGAGAGGAAGAAGAAAGAAAAAGAAAAGAGAAACACGAAGAACAACTGAGAGAAAAACAAGAAGAACTGGAGAAAATGAGAAAGAGATTTGAAGGAGAAAGAGAAGAAGAACGACGGAAGATGGAGGAGGAGAGACTGAAACAGAGAAGAGAAAGAGAAGAAAAGGAGAGAGATTATGAGGAAAAGAGACAGGAGACAAAGAGACATTATGAGGAGCTGGAGAGAGAGAGAAAAGAGGAGTGGGAGAGAAGAAAACATGAAGATGAAGAGAGACGAGAAGAAGAGAGAAGGAGATGGAAGAAAATGATTGAAGATCTGAAAAGAGAGCAAGAAGAGTAGAACAGAAGGAGAGAATATGAGATGAAAAATAATCAGAAGCTGTCAAAAAAGATTTAAAAGAAACTATACGACCCAACACACATGTGTGCGACAAAAGCATCTCTCTACTGTGGTTCATTATTATGAGGACTTATTTTACATTCCAGCTGCACTTCTGAACATTAACCTAAACCATATTCAACACTCTTGTTCTCCTCTGGCACAAAACTAAATCATCAATCTCTCAGTGTGCTGAATATCAACTTATGAACATGTTGTGAATGCCTTTTCTAACTACACCATACAGTATACCTCCAGAACACCTTTATACTTATGAGCTGTCTGGGGTTATTTTATATCACATTTGCTCTTTTATTGAGCAGCCACAGGACATGCTTATCTCATTCTTTGTGTTCAGAATAAAGAGGGTGCTAAACATTTTTCTTTCATAGTAACTCTTAATGTAGGTTTTAAGCCAACAGTTCAGATGTTTCCTCTTTGTTTTTGACATTATTAGATTGAGTGCTCAGGAATTTTATCAGTTTTTAATGGCTGCTCATAATGTTTAACTTGAATCAACTGGACTTTTCTCATCATCTCAACTTACATCAGTGAAAATGACATAAATAAGTTCAACTGTAAATATACAAATGTTGAAATGTGATGAACTGATTAAAAAGATTTGTAAGTATTTTTATAGTTTAGTTTATGTTCTGTAATGTTGACACAGGGCATACTCCACAGTCCAGTGTTGTTCCAGCATCTTCACACGTTCAAAAATCTTCCCTCAGACCAACGTTATGTTGAAACCCTTACAAACCACAGCAAAACAAACTACTTCATTTCAATGGCTTATGTAAATATGACAATGTCTCATGCTAACATGACTTTTAACACATTAAATAGACGTCATCCTTGTCTTACAATTAAAATGTAGAAATTCTTTACTTTAGTACGGAAGTCCTAAGAGGCCATGCATTCAAATATTTTTCCTCTTGTTTTGTTGTGATCACGACTTAATTATCTCGTGATCTCGACATAACAAAAGTTGATTTCTTGTGATAGTGTAGGGATAGTATACAGTTTAACGCAAAGAATGACCAGTCTGGTAGATGAAGAAGAGCCGGAGTCAGAGATTTAAATAAATAAAATAAGTTTACTAAAGATAGTTTGCAGTTTCATCCGCAGAAGCCAGCTTCAATACTCGCAATGAGTTCCTAGGCCGCTCTGCTTACAATCACCAATCAATAACAATTATACTCTCACATCACGTCATTAACTGCATCACACATACAGGTGTTCTAACCTGATTGGTTAAAACACAGATAAACTAGGAAATTTCCATGTGGGGTTCGTGCGTATATTCTGAACAATATCTAAACATAAGAGTCAGACATCCCATAGACTGATTAGAGCTGACTCCAGACCTGTGAAACGGATCAACAATCAAATAGGACACACACACTTAATGTACAATCTGTTTCTTATCCAAGGCTGTGTCACGGTTGTGGATCTATCTGCGCTTCTATGATGTGTCTGTGTAGGTTGTTTATCCGTGGTGCGTGTATGACTAGTGTGTGTGCGCTTGTCTCTGTGTTTGTGTGGGAGTCGCGTGTCTGTCAGTGTTGTTGTTTTCATGTCATCAGCTGGGCGGTCATACTGTATGTTGTGTGTTGTTTTTAAACCCAAATAAGGACTAAATGTATTTTTGCACTATCATTGATCTGCAGTTATAATCAAATCATGTTCATTGAAAGGTTACGAACATTCATATGAACAGTCATGAACATTTATGCACAAGCATTTATGTCAGGGGTGTCCAAACTCGGTCCTGCAGGGCCGGTGTCCTGTAAAGTTTAGTTCCAACTCCAATCAGACACACCTGGGCTAGCTAATCAAGCTCTTATTAGGCTTTCTAGAAACATCCCTGTAGGTGTGTTGAGGCAAGTTGGAGCTAAAATCTGCTGGGCACCAGCCCTCCAGGACCGAGTTTGGACACCCCTGATTTATGTGTATAAAGCATCTGTTTTACCACTGGGCCACCATGCCGCCCAATCTAGGTAAAAAGGAAGGAGGAGAAGGGGGTTTCTTCCAGACGAAGATAGTAGTGGAATGAAGACTGAGGTTATTTAAAGTTACTTAGGAATCATATGATTGGAGGATCATGATTAGCTAATGCAGAACTGACTGTGATCAATCATAAGCATGTGATCCTCTCAAAATTAGTTTATAAACAAACTTCACTTCAAGCCCAACTATGATGCAAACCTCCAGAACACTTCAAATAAAGTAACCTGAAGTTACAGAAGATTATTTTAATTTATGCATTTATGCCATTTATATGAGTAAACACAAGAAGGGCATTTATCTATTTATTTATATTACAAGTACAATTATAATTGGTGCAGCAGCAGCAGTAAAGCAATGTATGGATGTACTGGTCCGTTGTGGTGAAGAAGGAGCTGAGCTGAAAGGCAAATCTCTCGATTTACCGGTCAGTCTACGTTCCTACTCTTACCTATGCTCATGAGCTTTGGGCAAGATTTTGGATTCAAGTGGGCGAAATGAGTTTCCTTTCGCAGGGTGGCAGGGCGCACTCTTATGGATAGGGTGAGGAGCTCTGACACCCGGGAGGAGCTCAGAGTAGAGCTGCTGCTCCTCCACATCCAGAGAAGTCAGCTGAGGTGGCTCGGGCATCTGTTTCAGATGCCTCTTGGACGCCTGCCTAGGGAGGTGTTCCAGGCATGTTGCACCGGGAGGAGGCCTCGGGGAAGACCCAGGACACGCTGGAGGGACTATGTCTCTCGGCTGGCCTGGGAACACTTCAGGATCCCCCCGGAAGATCTGGAGGAAGTGTCTAGGGAGAGGAAAGTCTGGGGTTCTCTCCTAAGACTGCTGCCCCCACGACCCGGCCCTGAAAAAGTGGCAGATAATGAATGTATGAATGAATAACTATTACAAGTAAGAGAAAGGTGGAAATATTTCCCAGTTTTAAACCAACAGCTCAAAGGATATTTTGTTGTGTTCGGTTATCTTTACCAATACATGAGATCTCCATTTCATCTTCACCGACTAATCCTTCCTTTGGGGAGGTGAAAATGTTTGTTGCAAAGCTACGCAGCAGTTGTAACTCAATACTCAACATTAAAGTACAGTCGGTTATTACTGAGTTAAAGGGAACAGATGAGCGTTTTTCAGCAGTCCACAAGCACACATGACTCTTTGGAACATCTTGATTATTTGGATCAGCTGTGTAGCGTTGGAGCAAAACTGTGCAGAGCTGCGGCCCTCCAGGAATTGAGTTTGAAACCTATGCTGCAGATGAACAGATCCTGCGGATCCTACAGATCCTGGTAGTCATTATCACTATCAGAGGGAGCTGTGAGAGATATTGAGCACTGTCCAGATGCTGATTTTTAGACATACAATAAATGGCGCAGGTACAGGTGCTGCTTGCCATTCATTATGTGTTAATCCCTACGCAGGGTTTATTCTGCAATGTGACTTTTTCAAATAGATGAAGGGTGTAGGGGTCAAAGCTTCTCTTTGGAACGCACTTCTGCATCATCTTATGATGATCATAGAGGTGAGCCTGCATCACACTTTTGTGCATTATATTTGACGAACACAAGATACACTCCTAATGATTGAAATTGTGCACTCTGCACTTTTATTTATTTATTTATTTATTTATGAAAGCATGTTTGTATTTAGCCTGTGTATGTAAGTTTGTAGTGTAACCGGTTCTGCGTTGTGTTTTCTTTGTTTTATTAAGGAATAACCAGTCGGAGATCTGAAGTTGTGACGGCTCTTTACTCACTGAGAATAAACCAAAAAGCACAGCTTTTACAGTGTGTCTTCACCCTTACAGCTTTTCTCTCCCATGCGCAGTCAGTGCAGAAAGGGGAGAGATGGAGAGAGAGACAGAACAAAACTCCAAACAATATCAACAAAGTGACAAAACATACCTGAGAATAATACCCTTACAGCTTTTCTGTTAAAAGTAAAGTGCAATGCATTTAGCATTCACATGCTTCAGTTAGGCTAAAGTTAATCAAAACCTCAATTTAAGTGATGACACAAAAATAATGAAATATATGTGAAAAATAAAGGTATAAATATTATTTAAACATGAAAACTAGCTTTAAAAGTTATTTATAAAGTAAAGATGATTAAAGATTAATTGGAGCTTAGCAGACACCCACCTCTCCCATGCGCAGTCAGTGCAGAAAGGGAAGAGGCGGGCGCAAAACAGGAAATTGAACAGCGTGAGCTCTCTTAGAAATTTAAAGGAGAAGACACACACTAACAAACACCTCAGGTACACTTACTAACACATTAGATAAAACACATATTTTGTGTGATTCTATTCTTAAAGCGAATTATAATTTTCATACCTGTTACATAGGACTTTCCAGTATGTTGTCACTATTGTTTCCATATTTTTAAAGATAGATGTTATTATGCTTTATAATATTTGAAGAACAAATATAAGTATGTATATTTACCATGTTAGTTTAAATGCAGGCACATTTATGTTGTATTTTCAAATTTGTCACAGTTCTGAAATTTGTTTTGCTGTTTTTAGCCAATAGGTTGTGTCTGTGTATAAATTAAGACACTAGAGCAGTGGTCACCAAACTTGTTCCTGGAGGGCCGTTGTTCAGCAGATTTTAGCTCCAACCCTAATCAAACACACCTGAACAAGCTGATCAAGCTCTTACTAGGTATACTGAAACATCCAGGCAGGTGTGTTGAGGCTAGTTGGAGCTTAACCCTGCAGGGACACCAGCCCTCCAGGACTGAGATTGGTGACCCCTGCACTAGAGTAATTTTTTCTTCTCTCTCAGTTAGTTATTGTTGAAGTTTGACAGACTAGTGTAATGTTAACGTCAGTACTCAGGCTACCTAGTTTGAGGATGAACATTGTGTATGTGTACGCAATAAAAGTTGAGGCGTGGCTCGAGTTGTATCCATCGTACTTGCCCTGAAAGCCTTCCAGTGGGGAGTTTATTGAGGTAAAGTGAGTAACTTGATAAAAACTGAACAATGTGTGTATGAATTTACAATTTTCATTTATTTAAAGTTATTTTATTTATCTTTGTTTTTCTTTAAAACTTTGTTCGGGCATCATGGTGGCGCAGTGGGCAGCACAATCGCCTCACAGCAAGAAGGTCACTGGCTCGAGCCTTGGCTGGGTCAGTTGGCATTTCTTTGTGGAGTTTGCATGTTCTCCCTGTGTTCGCGTGGGTTTCCTCCAGGTGCTCCGTTTTCCCCCACAAGTCCAAACACATGTGGAACAGGTGAATTGGGTAGGCTAAATTGTCCGTAGAGTATGAGTGTGTGTGAATGTGTATAGATGTTTCCCAGTGATGGGTTGCAGCTGGAAGGGCATCTGCTGCGTAAAAACAAATGTTGGATAAGTTGGTGGATCATTCCGCGTTGGCGACCCTAAAGGGACTAAGCCGAAAATGAATGAATGAATGAACTTTGTTCAAAAGTACTACACTACTTGAGTAGAAACATACTACACTTACATTTATTTGTAAAGTCAAACTCCAGCTGTCATTCTGTGACACCTATTTTCTTGCATTTTAAGACAGAAATTGGTCAACCTTTACACATTAAAAGAAACAAGAAATACTAAAACGGGAAAAAACAACAACTGCACATTATTTTAAAGCATTAAACTGATTTTGAGTAATTTGTTTCGATTTACACCTACATTTAACAATGGATTTGCCATATCTAACTACTCTTTCATTTTTTTTATTTATTACTGTAGTCTACTCTTTTTCTTTTAGCTCTTGTATGTAATAATTATCGTTATACAAACTGCAAAAAACTAACAAAAAACAAAAAAACAAAAAAAAAAAAACTTCCCTGCGGCCTGCCTAACATACTGAGGCAAATTATTTCCAAGTTTAGGTACCACCACTGCAAAGGCATTGTTCCTCCTGGTTTTTAACCTTGTGTGTGGAACAGCCAAAAGTAGCTGATCAGCACATCTTTGATGGAGTGTACATGCATTACGAAGGGTCCTTGCAAGTAGCCAGTATTGAGCAGTTTGGTTTGGAACAATACCTCAATAAGGCAGTCGCTGTTTCCCTTCAGACTATAATATCCAGCTGCAGGCCTGCAGAACCACACACGTTTTAGGCACACACAATCTAGGACACACAATCTAGGCAAACCATATATGGTTACGACGGATGTTGTGTTATTAACGTCTTTTTGAACATCGTCATCAATATATTTTGATATATTTGATTAATAAATATTGTACACAATAAACAATAGTGTTTACTTTACTATATTTCACAAATATTGCAATCGAGACGGCCGAATGGGGAGCATTGCTTCCGATCGCCATTCAATATAATAGACTGAACAGTTTTTAATCAGTCATTATAGCTGATCAGTCATTATTATCTGACAATCATATTGCAGATACTCGTTTGCTGGCCTTGCTAAACGATCTGATTTGGACAGGTTTAGTTTATATAATGCATTCATTTTTGATGAAGGAAATAATAGCAAGTTAATATAGGCAATAATACATTATATGTAATAAAAATATATTTACATGTAACAAATGTATAACACTATATTATTTTACTCAAGCGATTTAATAGTGTTTATTTATTTGCTTAACTTTCTAATAATCTTTTAATTAATGATTTCCCACATTTAATACTGTAGTAATTTATAGTAAGCAATAAATTGTTTTAAAACCAAAATTTTGCCATAGGAACAAATTAACTATTAATAATAAAAAATAAAAAGCAAATATATATATATATATATATATATATATATATATATATATATATATATATATATATATATATATATATATATATATAGCTGTGACAGATAGTAGTTTATATACAAAAACTTATTATCTTAACTGATCATCTGGTTATAATAAGTTTATAACTATAACTATATATATATATATATATATATATATATATATATATATATATATATATATATATATATATATATATATAGTTTAAATGATTAACTATAGTAGAAAGTGACACATTATTGTTTGCTTTTTATATTTTACATCAAAGTGATTTTAACCAAGTATGATAATATTAAGATCTTGAATTAATTTATTACACTTAGTCCAACATTAGACGGTCTATGATGTCTTAGTGTCTGTGGACACATGAATAAAGTCATAATTGTCTTTAACCAATTATTTTTATTTACATAATTTAAGTCCAGAAACTGCAGATATGTTAAAATGATCAAAACGATATAATAATAATTATGACTGAAATGAGAAGCCATACTTGTGAAATTCAATAGGTGGCGACCATATATGGTTTGCCTAAATCGTGTGTCCTAGATTGTGTGCGCCTAAAACGTGTGTGCTGCGGGCCTGCAGCTGGATAGAGGGCGATATATTCCATTTTAAACGCAACGAGGGTGAAGTGTGACGTCACAAACTCCGCCCACACACACGTTTCTTCCTGGTGGTTTTACGAAGGAAAAGAGAACCTTCAGCATGCAGGTATCACTTTTGCTTTGAATACAAGTTCATTGGCAAAACACACAAATATATGCGTAAATATTGTAATATATTTTCACAGAAAATTATTATGTGTGTTGTATTCAGTGTGTAGTTGTAGAAATTGTGGAAACGGTTTGGTTTCACTTTCATTTACGTCTGAGAACCTAAAACAAAAATGGTTCGTTTCATATATTTAAATGTATAAAGCAGTGTTTGATTAAATCACTCAATAGGAGTTTTTTATAACAGCATAAATTCTGGGTAAATCAGTATCATCAGATGCTCAAATTCACCAACACTGAAACATTCATTCATTCATTCATTCATTCTTTATTTCATGTTCCTTCGGCTTAGTCCACTATTTATCAGGGGTGAGGGGTCGCCACAGTGGAATGAACCGCCCACTGAAACATTTCTCTTCTTATTAAATACAGGAGGAAACCAACTTACATTTTAATAATTTTTTATTAAACATATTTTGAATACAACAGATCAGTATAATTAATGTAGTTAAATCTGTGTGTTCTCTGACAGGAGGATGAAGAGACACACATCAGGAGGAGGAGGAAGATGATGAACTGAAGAAAGAGAAGCAGATCAACATGAGCAGCATAATAACATGAAGATCAGCAACATCAGAAATGAACAGAGATGATGTTCAGCTGATGAAGAGCAGAAGATCAACATGAGCAGCAGAGAGAGCAGAGGTCAGAGTCCATCTGATAAAACATCTTTCCTAAAGTTAAAAACTAAATGAACAGCTGATGACCAGCCTTATGGGTGTTTTAATAAAGATGTATGAATTATAAATTATTATCTTTACTAATATGATCTGCCCTGACATATGTTCACTTGAATGTTTTATAGCCGTTGAACACAGTCCTGCTCTCAAAAGAAGTCGAAGCAAAGAACTAGAGCCTCCTGACTGTAAGTATTTATAAAGATGATGAACACTGATTAACAGCAGGTCATGATGTTTTAGCCGCTTAAAACAAAGCTGTGTTTCTGCTGGTGAAGTTGATGCATTGAAACCTAGTAAACTGATACATTCAGGGCTTTACATTAACTTTTTTAATCACCGGCCACTGTGGCTACCCACATGGCAAAGTTTCTCTGGCCCACACAATCAGGTTTTGCTTGGCACACATGCCGCAGTGAATTACGGTACATGACTGGACCAAATCTGGCTTCCAGACAAGGGCCAAACACGGACCATATCTGGGCCAAGTCTCAGCCAAGTTAATAACTCATAACTGGGCCTGAACTGGGCCAGATAGGTTGGTGTGTCACAATTGCAATGAAATTGATAAACCCATGGAGTGCTGCGCTTTAGGCACACTATGGGCACGCTTTTTCTCAAAGTGACCTGATTGGTAGAATTTTTTTTTCTTTACTCAAAAATAATTTTAGTGTATTTTAAATGTGGGTCAAGACTGGCCAAACTCACATGGCCCACTTATTACATGTTTAAATCTGGGCCAAATACTACGTTTTTCATCTGGCCCAAATCTTGTGTGCCGCCTTAAAGACGGTGCCACCTCTGCCAAACCCGGGCCATGTTTGGCCCACATGCTGTATGCCAGTGCCGGATGAATGCCTGCTGTGCCAGCTTTATGCCAAATCTGGGCCAGAATTCTTTGCTACTAGGGTAGTAGTTTTCCAATGTTACTAGCCACTCTGCATTTTCACTAGCCACAATTTTGTTTGTTTGACGTTGACATGCTAAAATTACTTGGTTTAAATTTTGTGTTATCTCCACATGCGTTCTCATTCATTTCACTTTTTGTGTCGTGTATGAGCTTGCTCAATGAGCATGAGCAAATGGATCATGGTGTCATAGTGTTATTTTTTTAGAGCTTAAAATTAACGATTTACCAAATTTATCTCTATAACCACATGAAACAATAACTATTTCTTAGCCACAAATTTTTAATGTGTCAAAACACGCAAAATATAGCTGTATACTATACTTTTTATTTAACAAAACATTTCTTTAAAAAGAAAAAAAAGCAATTGACTTTAAAAAAATAACTATTGTTAACATGTATCAAAAAATATGCTTGGTAATCTGTCGTGACTAAAGACCTTTCGGATCAGCAGTTAGCTGCACATAAATGTTGAGTTCATCTCCCATTAAAGCAATGTTGTAAAAATAATTTTATTAATAATAATTAAACCATTTTAACAAAAATAAAAGCAAATAAAACCGTAAGCAAATGAAAGCAGGTGAAACATACCATGTGTGATAATGAAAGAATGATCACATGCTCACGGTTAACTATAGGCTATTTATTATTCTGTTCAAAGTAAAAGCAACCGCTGCTGCTTACAAAAAGACACATGTTGAGCTCTTGAAAGCAGCAGGACTGTGGATGCATGTTCATCACTTTTTGTCTAGTCTATTTGAAGGAGAACTGATGACAGTTGCGTTTCCAGAACCTGTTCCCAACACGGTTGCTTCACAATTCGGGAGTGCGCACGCGTTTGAAGAAGTCGCGCGCATCACTTCAGCAGCGAGTGATCATCATCCTCTCATTCATTATTAATTTGCTTTATTCTGCGCACGTGATTACAGTAATTTTACTTCTCGATTTTAAGATCACATTTGCACGCATATTGGGCCATCCTTATATTGTCGAACCCTGCTTTTAGGAAAACTACAATTTAAAAATTATTTTCAACCAGCCAAAGTGGCGCATCTTCAGTGCGAGGATAAAGAACAAGCCTCCTCCATTCAGCCTCTTTACTTTTACTCCTTTACTTTGGTGGAGTGAGGAAACGGTGGAAACTCACTCCACTGAACACATCCATTAGCTCACATATTTAATTTAGTTTGTTTAGCACAAAGATTAGTGTAGTAATCTATTTCTAAACTCAGTTCTAATCTCCAGCAAAGGAATAAATTAACAATAATAATGAAGTGTGGACAAGTTATATCCAGACACACGTCCTGTTCTTATGCCCCATATGTTGATGCAGACGTCTCTGAAACAACACAGGTGGACAAATCTACACTGCTTTTATTAAAACAAATATAATCTGCAGATAATAAATAATACTGCTAATAATAATAATATACAGATGCAGATTGTCATTAATAAACCAAAAAAAGCCCCCTGAGGTGGAGGCATGGAGGCAGTGGTGTTTATATTGATGTAGAAAAAAATATTTTTCATAACCTTTTAATCCTTTAGGTCCCTTTGGATCTGCATAGGCGCATAACTAACACACTCTGTGTTGGACTTTAAAGCAGCTTTTAGTTGGTCAATGGTGTAGTTTATTTCAGTTTCTCAAAATAGCGACGCCCCAACAATGTGTCTAAACACATTTAGACCAGCACACTGCTGAGTCCACAAAGCGGCGCAAATTGATTTGCTATTTAAACAACGTGGCGCAAAGTGTGAAAATTACTGTTGCATTGGTTTGAAAATAGCAACAAAATGCACCATACACACCTTGCACCGGGTTTACTTTTTTTTTACTAGTTTACTTTTTAAAGAAGCAACACATGATTGTAATGCATGAGTTTTTAAAAGTAACTTTCCTCAACACTGGAGATGTTTGAGTCACAATATAACATTTAACACATGTTGTGTGTTTCAGTGAGTACTGCGGCTCCTCTGAGGATTCTTCTTCTGGGTAAAAGCGTGTCTGAAAACAGCCGTGTGGGAAACTTGATCTTGGGTCGATCAGCGTTTGACAGTGAAGCTCCTCCAGATGTTGTGGAGAGAGTCGGAGGAAGACTGAAGCACAGACACGTGACGCTCATCAACAGTCCTCAGCTGCTCCACATAAACATCTCAGATGATCAGATCACACAGACGGTCAGAGAGTGCGTGAGTCTGTCTGATCCAGGACCTCATGTGGTGCTTCTGCTCCTCCAACATCAGCAGTGTTCAGCAGAAGATCAAGAGCGTGTGGAGAAGCTGCAGAACTCTTTCTCTGAGCGTCTTCTTCAACACACCCTGGTGCTCAGCACACAAGAGCCCACTGAACCCAATCAGATCCTGCAGAAGATCATCCAGAAGTGCTCCAACAGACACGTCAGTCTTCAGACAAGCAGCTCTGCTGATCATCTTCTGCAGGCCTTTGAGGACATCGAGCGGAGCAATGAGGGACGACACCTGATTACACCAGCTCCATCTGGAGAATCACTGAGAGAACAGTTTAATGAGAGACTGAGAGAAGTGAGGGAGAGGATGGAGAGAGAGAAAGAAGATCTTCAGTCTAAACATGAAGCGAAACAAAACAAGATGAAGATCCAGATAGAGGAACTGAATAGAGAAAGAGAAGAACTGAGGAAGAAACTAGAAGAAAAAGAGAGAATGATAATGATGATGCAACAGAATCCAGAGATTCTTAATATACAGCATAAGAAAAGAGAAGGGGAGTTCAGAAAGATGGAAGAGGAATGTGTAAAACTGATTAAAGAAGTGCAAAAGCAGAATAAACAGCTTAAATGGATACAACTGAAGCAAATACAAAAACCAGAGCAAAAACTGAAAAGAGAAGAACAGATATCTGAACTTTACAGGATAGACCAAAGTCCAGATAGCAAACTCATAACTGGTAAGAAATGATTTTATACTATTTAAAATGACTTAAAGATTTTACATCAGGGGTGTCGAAACACGGTCGTGGAGAGTTTAGCTTCAACCCTAATCAAGCACACCTGAACCAGCTAATCAAGCTCTTACCAGATATACTAGAAACTTCCTGGCAGGTGTGTTGAGGCAAGTTGGAGCTAAACTCAGCAGAACTCAACCGGCCCTCCAGGACCGAGCTTAGACAGCCATTTTAAATGATTTTACAATGCTGCAAATTATTAGTAGTGAGAGTTCATCTGTGTTTTATTTGGACCTTAAATCAGTTTCATGTGCAGCTCTTACGGAGTGTGTGCGTAACAAAGTGTTTTTGCACACACAGTTTAACTCATTCTCCACTTGTCAGAGTGTTTAAAGAGTGCTGTTTCATGTGAAACTCATCCTGTTAAATTTTCCCATGAGATTTTAACGGACTGCACCTGGACTACAGGATTTATTTAGTACATCATGAAGCAAAATAGTTTAGGTGCAAGATATTAGAAAGATCCACCGCCTACAGTTGATTTTAATATTCTAGGAATAATCAGTTGTCCAGAATTAATTGAGCGTAGTTGACGTGAGGGGCTATAATACAGCTGGAGCTCCCTCAAATACTGGGAAGCTCAGCCGTTCAGGGGTCTGTTCTTCGTAGGTGGATTACTCAGTTAGCTGGATTTGGATATTGACGATTTGACACGATCCAGAATCGTTTTGTTCTTCAAAGCTGATCCGAGAGTTGTTGTCATAGCAACAGTTCTGCTAGCTCAAACCTGATCGGGAGCAGGTTCAATTCATATAAACAGGATTAGATCGGCTCAGTTCAAGCAAAGATAATAGAGAAAGTATGTGCCGAATTCTGATATTTTCTTACAGTAGTAGTTATATACACTTGGGAAAATGGTACATATTTTTTAACTATATATATAAAGTTATAGTCATTAATAAAATAAAAAAAGTTATACATATTAATAAAACTTATGCAATCACCCTCGAAATGAAAGTACAAATAGAAAACTTATTGAAATGAACTTTTTAGATCGCTTTAGTACAAATTGTGTATAATAGAAATGCAGAATATGTGACTTTTTTAAAGCAATAATACATTTATGCAGTCATAAACATGTTTTGATAGTTAATATGCCAGTGATTTGATGCTTCACTAAAGTTGCAGACGCCTTTACCAATATCAAAATGCTTTTGTAAACAACCAGTTATTCTTTACACCGATTAAAAAATGTCTACTATAATAAAGAAAATCTTCTCTAAATGTAGAACTAAATACATTGATATGCATTGAAATACATGATGAATACTCTCGACACATGAAAGTGTAAAGCCTGCAGCTCACAACAAATGTGGAAGGTTATTGCGTGTCATATTTAAAGGGCCATGAAAGCCCCTCGTTTCAGCAGGGTGTTTTCACACCTCTACTTTGGAAAAAGTCAGAAAAGTGGGCGTGTCCAGCTCTGTTTAGGGGGGAGTGTCGGAGGAAGAAAAGTGGGAGGGTGTGGGAGTGTCTATTTGGGCACGCGCGAGTTTCAGAGTCAAAATTCACACTCACACACACACACACACACACACACACACACAGTAGAAAGTGATGGTGTTTAACCTACATGGACATCTGTAGTCGAATTATTTGCCTAATTATTAAATGTTGGACTTTAACTGCAGTTTGGCTCTTTCATTCAGGGAATTCATTCATGTCCCTCACGACAAACGAGGTATTTGATTCGAGGAGCTGCTCTAAGCGTGTATTTTTCATGCAATGTTTGATACCGCACGGCGAATGAGAGAAAAAACCCTCAGCATTTCCCGGAAACTTAGATGCGGCAGGTAGTGTCAGAAAGCCGCGTGTGTTATTCCGGTCACTAAATGCGGTAAAAACCCTACACGAGGTTAAAGTTTGGTTGTGGTGCTAACATGTTTACACTCGGTGCAATAGTTAACTTAGTTTGATACGAACAAACTGAATAAACAAAGAGCACTGGCCGCTCACTTACCAAATCTGTAGAGAAAGGACAATCACCAGCAACTAGAGCCGCGTCTTTATTAAGAGGAGACTAAAGCGAATCTGGATCTCAGCGTTTGCAGATGAACAGCTCTCAGGTAAACAATAATCCTCCTTAGACACGTAAGTTATTGTTGTCGAGCGTCGCGTACACTGTTAATCCACACGTGACTCCAGCTGAGCTCTCACAGAGAGAAAATGAAAACAAAACTTCACTGCAGCAAACTATAAAAGCAACACTTCACGCTTGTTTTGCCAACACAACGTGGCGTCTCTGCCGTCTAAACACTGTGACAGTAATGAATATTAATGAAGTTGCACAGTAAAGCGCGCTGATTGGTTTGAACCAAGCTTTACTCATGCATTAATGCATCACACTGTAAGACGTAATAAGACACACTCTGGCACAGACGCCCAGTCTGCACGCTGGAATACATGCTATTATGTCATGACCGTGACGCAGCTTCAAAAATTCGCTTCAAACCGGAAGTACGAATTTGCTTGAAATATCGCAAAAACAACCAATTTACACTTTTTAGTGAAATATAGGTGTCCTAATAGTGTTTTTAGCAGTGTGGGACACATATACCACTGTCAACAGCTCAAACACATGTGTTTTGGTGTTTCGTGACCCTTTAACAAATCGTTTACTGCTAATTTGATGTAATTTTGCTCACATGGATAATTGAATATTAATCAGATGATGTCATTACGCTGCTGTGCCGTCAGCCAATCGTTGCATTGCTGATCATGATTTCGAGGATGGATAGATCTGTCCTTCACAACACACGCAGCGGCCTCAGATCAGTTCATCCAGACTTTCTAATCTGATTTGCGAACTTGTTTGAAGAACCAAATTAGCGAGAGATCAGATATCAAGATTAAAAGATCCAGGATCTGCCAAATCATCTTAGATCATTTAAGCGAGGTACGAAGAACGGACCCCAGGACTTTGTGGGTAGTCAATAAAATTTGAAAATTTATACAATGTTTAATAGGGAGCCAATGTCCCGATGAAGGAACTGGAGTAGTAGGATCATATTTCTGTGTTCTAGAAATCACTCTATATTCAATTAGCTGAAGATTGTTATATACAAACGCACCTGGTAACACAAACCTTTTGTAACATGATCAATATTTCTTTTTACAGATGCTCCGATTAGCATTTTTGGGGCCTATCACCTATTACCGATCACCAAAATCATGATCTGCCGATTGCTGATCACTGCTGATCACATAATGGCAGAGGAATGGGAATTTTTTTTATCTATAATTTAGCAGGGTTTGCGTCATTTGTATGAATGAATGAAACTAACTCTAAATAAACCATATTGAAAAAATTGTAGAAATAGGCTACAGTCAAGATCTTGTCCACCAAGTGTTTATTTTAGAAAACGAGAACTACTACTACTGTAGGCCATCTCTCCTTAATAAGGCAGAGTAACTTAAAATTATTCCAAACAAAGTGGGGTCAGGCAGACCAACACAAATCAGATCAGCTTAATGGGATGTAGCCTCTTAATACACACATTACATTTTATAATTGGCAGCAAAATGTAAAACTACACCTAAACTGGCTACTGCCACAAAGGACAATATGGCAAGTGTTTTCTTCTGTTGTTATTATGAACCAGGAACCAACTACATCAGATCCAAAAAAAAAATAATAATAATAATGTAGTAAGCTACTGTAAGCCAATGCTGTCTTTCCTAAATAACAAGGCAGAGAAACAAGCAGAAACAACCAAATGAACTAGTATCTAATGAATGAGTACTAGTAACTATTAAATAGATGCTAGTATCTAATTAATAAGTACCAGTACCTAGCAGTACATAAAATATGTACCAGTCCCAACTGGAATACAAAAGCTGAGCTGTTGATATCTCAATGACAGATCCCATAGAAATCAAGACAAATTTTACATCTGTTACTAGCAACAACAGAACAGTTACTAGTCACTATTAAATAAGTACTAGTATCCAATAAATAAAAACTAGTATCTATTTAATAAGTACTAGTTTCTAATAAATAAGTACTATCTAATGAATAAGTATTAGTATATTTAATAGACACTAGTATCTAATGAATAAGGACTAGTATCTAATAAAAGAACTAGTGTCTAATGCACAGGTGTCAAACTCAGTTCCTGGAGGGCCGCAGCTCTGCACAGTTTAGTTCCAACCCTAATTAAACACACCTGATCAAACTAATTGAGTCCTTCAGGTTTGTTTGAAACCTACAGGTAAGTGTGTTGGAGCAGGGTTGGAACTAAACTGTGCAGAGCTTCGGCCCTCCAGGAATTGAGTTGACATCCCTGGTCTCATGAGTAAGCACTAGCATATTTTTAAAAAGCACTAGTATTTAAAGAATGGGCACTGATGAGTAAGCTATAGTATCTAATGAATAAGTACTAGTACTTAATAGAAAAAATACTTGTATCTAAAAATAAGCACAAATAACATGAAAATAGATTCTAGTATGGGTTATAGATTAAATGTTAAAACGGCTTGCCATACATGCACAGCAAGCTGGAGGGTGTGACACACACACACACACACACACACACACACACACACGACAGGCCAGGAAAATCTGCGTCTCTCATTGTTTCTGCGTGTTTTTGGGAGAGGGGTCTGGCTGCAGACTCGGTGGAGTGCAATCAGAGCTGCATTCAATGCTTTTTAATGCGCTCACCTAACCCCACCTCTAACCCTACCCGTCACAGTGACGTCGCTCACTCTATTGAGTGCATTGAGTCTGAAATTGCATTGCTGAGCGATGCAGTCTCAGCTTGCATCATAAAGGCTGCATGCAGATACTAGTGGTTTTTGGCGTTGTCTGTTAAAACTGCGTGGATTTTTTTTCTCTTTGGATCCCCTGTGATTGAAACATGCGCTCACCAAAGCCTCTGCAGAATGTGACCATGTGAAATCCTGACTGTGTAGCACAATGTTGTCTTTCAAAGTTTGAGTCATTAAAGTGTGCTGTTAAGCTCAGCAGCGACATTGGACAGGCGTCTGCACTTCACATATCACAGGTTGTTCATCGAGGCATAAAAATTCCATAATTCTGAACACGATGTCTTTCCACCTCGTACTATCCCTTCTGTATGGTTTACGTCGTTTAATCATACTTCTCATACTCGGCATATTCAGTTGTATGACGTGTTCTAAAGACGCCTAATCATGTTAGTGCTGTTAAAATGATGTTGCTACATACATACATTTTGTGATGCATACATTTTATCACAACATATATTGCAAACATCTAACTTTTTGTCTTTATTGCAGACTTTGAAAAAGACGGGGGAACTCATGTTGCCACTGGTAAGCTCTGCTCTCTGCTCTGCTGTTGTTTATCTGTGCGCTGTGCATGCATGTGTGAAAAAGTCGTGCGAGTAATTTACGTCAAGTGATCTGCTTTTTTGATCGGCGCTTTTGGGGTTGGCCGATCAAGCTATTTTTAGTCAATATCGGCCGATCAATCGGAGCGTCACTATTTCTTATCAGAAAAGTTACAGTTACTGTTTTTTCTCTCCTTTCTATTTTTAAAAAACAAAAACATTACTGCCTTTTAAAAAACCCCATATGTACCATTGTACTGTAACAGAAAATGTTTACCATGGTGAATTGCTCCAATTATAGCATTTATTTACACTTTGCTTTTTTTAAAATTTAGTCCTAGGTTGTAATTCACCCTGGCTGGGAGAAAGGGGTGCTGGGAAAGTTGCGTCAGAAAAATTAGATTTCATCTGGGGCGGACCATCTTTCAGCTCAAAGAAAAGCTCAACAGTCACACAAGACATCGCTGTGGATTCTGTACCTGTCTGTAAGATTCCAGACACTGTTTATAACACACCAGGATTATCTAGTACATGTACGACAGGAAGGATTCATCAGAAAAAAGAAAGCTTTCAAGGTTTTTCAAATTTAAAAAAAATGGGTGAGCTTTTTGACAACATAATTTTTTGCAAATACATTTAGTTTGACAAAAAAAAGTATTTGTATAACATCAACTGCAAATTATCATTTGTTTTTTTCTTTACAGCAAGTGAAACAGAAAGTCAAAGGCTAGAACACACTCCAGTTTCCAGACTCTCCTCCAGACGGATTGTTCTGCTGGGTAAAACTGATGTTGGTAAAAGTGCAGCTGGAAACACAATCCTGGGACAGAAAAAGTTCTCATGTCAGACGAGGACACCTTCAGTAACGCGTGTTTGTTCAGAAGCTCAGGCCACAGTTTCAGGCAGATCTGTGTCTGTAGTCGACACTCCTGGATTTTTTGACCCTCAGATGACACATGAACAGTTAATAACTGAGATCAGCAGAAGTGTGTATATCTCCAGTCCTGGACCTCACGCTTTCCTCATTGTGTTTCCTCTCAACATGAGATTCACTGAACAGGAGCTGCAGATTCCTCAGATGATTGAGCTGATGTTTGGTGAAGGAGTGTTGAAATACTCCATCATTCTCTTCACTCATGGAGATCAGTTATATGGAGAGTCTGTAGAGAAGCTGATAAAGCAGAACAGTAGATTAAGATATCTAGTCCAGCAGTGTGGAGGCAGATATCATGTGTTCAACAACAGAGATGTGAATAACAGAGAGCAGGTGGAGGATCTACTGCAGAAGATTGACTCAATGATACAGCAGAATGGAGGAGCACACTACACTAACCAGATGTATGAAGACGCTCAGAGATTCAGACGATGAGAAGAAGATAAAAGAAAGCAAACTAGAGAGGAACTTAAAAGGTTGGCAAAGTAAAAAGTGGAGAAAATGAAAAGCCAACCAACCAACCAACCACCAAACAAACAAACAAAACAATGGGTATAAACAGGGGTACACACTTTATCTGTTTTCAAAATGAGTACCTGGAGATGTTGCTCAGTCCTCACACTGTTCATGGGACTACCATCCTGTCATATTTATATATAAACCAGCATTTTTGTTGCATAGATGTTCATGCATGACATTATTTATAGTACATCTTTGTACTAAACATTTACATATGTAAATATTTGATTTGCTTACATTGCTGTATCTGCATGTGGGTTCTCCTTTTACTTTTTGGATCAACGAGGCTGACTCTAGCTCCTTTTTCCCCAGCTCCATATTTGATGAGCTATCCGTTTAAAATAAAAATGTTATTTGATTGTAACTCCCTCAATGCTCAGTAATATTGGCTGTATTTCCTAATCTTAGGGACCACTGGACCAATTTCTACAGCTTGTGTGGTAACAGTTTTATCTCTTAATAATCAAATAAAATCAACTCAGGCCTTTATCAATTCAGGCCTTTTGTATAGTAAAATTGAACCCCCCTGACCATACACAAATATCACATTTCAGGGGAAGATAGGTCACAGCAGGTAGCATTTGGAAAAAGGAAGTAAGATACATTTCAGGAGAGAGAGGCAAAAAAACCTCCCTCTCACCTCTTGAATTAGGGCAGTGTGAGATCAGGGAGAAAAAAGCCCCAGTAATCAAGCACATTGCAACGGGATGGGAACAGGGGATGTGGATATAGTTCGATGAGGGCGGGCAGCCATCTGGTTCTGCAGCCAGGGGCGCTGGTCACAGACACGCCTACCTCCTCCAGTGGCTGAAAGCACACGAAGGCATGGGATGAGGACATCGGCAGTGATTGTCTATCTGTAGCTGTGTGTGTGTGTGTGTGTGTGTGTGTAATCCTGTTTGGTCCAACAGGTGTCTTCGACAGGGAGCAGGAATTTCAGAGCGTCTCCTTATCTTGCTATCCGGGAGAAGTAGTTTTTCGCCAGCCTAGGCCGTCTGGCAGGAGAAAGAAAACAGAGAGCCGAAAGAGTAGGAAAGTACTTCAACTTTAGGTCAATATCTGCCAATTTCACAGATATTTAATGTCATCACTCATCTCCAGATCTGGCCAAATGTTCTTGCAGAGCTGCTAGTTTCACCCCGATGGTTTCCAATTTGCGGTCTAGGACCATAGTCTTGAGTATTAGCGAGCCTGCCCTTATGCATTTTAATCAAGCCGGCCAGCCTGATGGGGTTTTGAGCAGCACTGACCACTTTTATCAGTCGCCGATACCCCAGGGACCCGCATAAGCCCATCAGCAGAAACCCTGTTATCAAAGTTCCCAATAGGTAAATATCTTCAATATCCTCCAAAGACAGAGCAGCCAGGCAAAGGACGCCCCACTTCTCCCACCCATCCATCACATATCCTGCTGCAAACGTCCCCGCAGGACAAGTGGGCTCTCCCGAGCTCAAACTTCTTATCGAGAAGATGGTGTCAATCACATTCAGAGACCAGTTAATCAAATCCACAATTCCTTATTCGTTTGGATAGCAGGGCACGGAGAGCCATAGAGATAGAATAAGAGGAAGACAAGAGGAGCTAGCAAGGAGAGATATGGGATGGAGAGGAAGAAAAGTGCAACAGCCTTCGCCGAAAGCCAAAGAAAGAGTCAGTCAGTAAAGGTCAGTAAAACTCACTTCTGCAGATCTATGTGCCCTCCAGAAACTTGCGTTCTGTGAATGAACGTCGCCTCGTGGTTCCATCCCAAAGAGGGAAGAAATCACTTTCGCGAACGCTCACGCTCAATCTGCCCAGTTGGTGGACTGAACTCCCTAACTGCATCAGAACAGCAGAGTCACTCGCTACTTTCAAGAAACGACTAAAAACTCAACTATTTAGTCTCCACTTCACTTCCTAATCTGCAATTGCCTCTTTGAATATCACACTAACTGTACAAAAAAAAAAAAAAAATAAAATAAAATAAATAAATTACTAACACTTCCCTTCTTAGACTTTACAGACCTGAAACTTGCCTTTAGTACTTATTCATTGTTGCTCTTAGTGGTGTAAATTGCTTCCTTGTCCTCATTTGTAAGTCGCTTTGGATAAAAGCGTCTGCTAAATGACTAAATGTAAATGTAAATGTAAATGTAAAAGCTGCATTACACCATTTTCTGATGTTTTGTGATTGTGACAGATGTATATATACATTATCTTGAATGGTGACCATTTTTGGGTACTTTTATTTTGGTGAGCGATCTGTGTTTCTTGCGTGTTGAGAGAGAGACAAGGAAGAGCAGGAGAGAGAGAGAAAGAGAGAGAGAGAGACGAAGAGTAGCGTGGTGTGTGAGCACATCACAGAAGAAGAGTGCGGTGTTGTGTTTGTAAAGCTGTTTGATAAGGTACTTCATTGTCATGGCTAAAGTTAAAAAAAGAATGTCTGTAAAAGCATGAGACCAGTGATGCGTGCTTCATCATCATGGAAAGGTTTTTTTTTCAGCCTTTGTAGCTGCTAGTGTGTACCAGAATGCCCTTCGTGTTGTGCAAAGCCCCGGCAACCTTTCAAGGCCTAATGGGTGTTGTGCTTGTTGACTTGTCATTTGGCATCGTTCTGGTCTACCTTTTCCAGGAATTTTGAAAGTCATTGTGAGAGGTTGGAACATGACTTGAACTTTAAAATGTTGTCATTAAACTGTGATAGCACAAAAAAGGGCATCACATTTAATATGTTGTGCCATATATAACGTTATAGGTCAGTCATGGTTAATCATGTAGCTACAAACATAAAACATATGAACAACACTATTCAGTTCACTTCACTATTTTGAAGGGAAAAATAATAATGAAATGACTCAGTCTAATTTTCAACAAGAGTCCACAGTTAGCTATTATGTCATGTTTTCTGGCTGACTGGGTGATCATCACAAACACAGTGCAGAAGCTCACACACATTTATAAACAGTGATGGAGCTGATAAGTAGAATGAGAAAGCCCAGCAATGAAGTGTTGTTGTGTCTCTGCTTTAATCTTCATCCACAGATAATAACAATGAGGTCTCAGTGATATTTTGAGTCTCATGTGAACCACTGTCAAGCCTCCTTTCCATTGCACATGACCCTATGAAATACTAGTGTACTTTATTTGTTCTGGATATAAGTGTTCTGGAGCTTTACATTATGTTTTGGCTTTAAAATATTGTAAATGTTGTTTATTGTAAAGTGAAAATCTCACCCTCGACCACTGAAACCCTCCAGACCTTTAAGCATGAATTATTTATTTTTAAATGCATATACACACACACACAGTTGACAGACCATAAGTCATACATTTCCAGTGCAGAGTTGTCCAGGAGCTGAATGTTGTTCTGATCATCTCCGTATGTGAAAATTTTGGATAACACCATGTCATAAAGCTCAATCATCTCAGACTGGTTTCTTGAACATGACAATGAGTTCACTGCACTCAAATGGCCTCCACAGTCACCAGAGCTCAATCCAATAGAGCAGCTTTGGGATGTGGTGGAACGGGAGATTGGCATCATGGATGTGCAGCCGACAAATCTGCAGCAACTGTGTGATGCTATCATGACAATATGGAGCAAAATCTCTGAGGAATATTTCCAGTAGCTTGCTGAATCTCTGCCATGAAGGATTAAGGCAGATCTGAAGGCAAAAGCGGTCCAACCCGGTACTAGTAAGGTGTACCTGATAAAGTAGCCTGTGTGTGTGTGTGTGTGTGTGTGTGTGTATATGTATGTATGTATGTGTATGTATGTGTGTGTGTGTGTGTATATATATATATATATATATATATATATATATATATATATATATATATGTGTGTGTGTGTGTGTGTGTGTGTGTGTGTGTGTGTGTATATGCATTTAAAAATAAATAATTCATGCTTAAAGATCTGGAGGGTTTCAGTGGTTGAGGGTGAGATTTTCACTTTACAATAAACAACATTTACAATATTTTAAAGCCAAACCATAATGTAAAGCTCCAGAACACTTATATCCAGAATAAATAAAGTACACTAGTATTTCATAGGGTTATTTTTTTATGACACGTTCATATTTTTGGCAGAAATCATAAGCAGGACATTTATCTGTTTATTTATTTGCATGGCAGAAAAGAGAAGGTGATGTGGTAGAGATATTATCTAGTTTTAGAATATTTCCTTGTGTTCTGTGATCTTTATGAATTTATAAGCTCTTCATTTCATCTTCTTTGACTACTTTGCCTATTTGGGGCAAAAAGCAGCAGTTGTAACTCAATACCCAACATTAATGAAAGTAAACTCGATTATTATTGAGTTAAAGGGATCAGATGACTCTGTTTGGTTTTCTGTCTCCTAAATTCTCCCAGTTTTACAACAGCAGGTATAAAACAGTCAGCAAATATATGAAGTCCTCTGACATGCAGATGAACAGATCCTGCAGTGATTTTGTCCAGCAGCAGAGGGAGCTGTGAGAGACACTGAGTACTCGCCAAACGCTGACGACACAAACCCCGCCCACACACAAGAGTTTTCCTGGTTCGTATAGACTTCCACATGCAGGTATTACGTTTGCTTTAAATATAAGATCAGGGGAAAAACTTACGCAAATATATGTGTAAATATAATATATTATAAAGAAAATTATCATTTTCTTTGTATTCAGTGAGTAGTTGTAAAAACTATTGGTTTCACTTTCATTTACGTCTGAGAATCCAAAACAAAATGATTGATTTTATACATTTAAATGTTCAATTTTATTCTGTTTTAAAGGTAAAACTTTTACTTGTTGAAGTTGAGCTAAATAAAGCAGTGTTTGATTAAATCACAATATTGTTTGTCATTAATAGCATGTATTCAGGGTAAATCAGTGTCATCAGGTGCACAGATACACTAACACTGAAACAGGGTCTCTACTTATTAAATACAGGAGGAAACCAACTTGTACTCTGACAGGAGGATGAAGAGACACACATCAGGAGGAGGAGGAAGATGACGATGAACTGAAGAAAGAGAAGCAGATCAACATGAGCAGCATAATAACATGAAGATCAGCAACATCAGAAATGAACAGAGATGATGATCAGCTGATGAAGAGCAGAAGATCAACATGAGCAGCAGAGAGAGCAGAGGTCAGAGATTATGATACAACATCTTTCCTGAAGTTAAAAACTAAACAAACACCAGTTAATCCTGATGACCAGCCTTATGGGTGTTTCAGTAAAGACGTCTGAATTATTCATTATTATCTGTATTAATATGATCTGTCCTGACATGTTCTCAATGTAATGTTTTATAGCCGTTGTTCGCGGTTCTGCTCACAAAAGAAGACGAAGCAAAGAACTAGATCCTCCATTAAGTAAGTCTTTATAAACATTATAAACACTTAAAACAGTGACTGTATGACATGCTGTTAATCAGTCCTGACTTTGTTTCTGGTGATGTTGATGCACTGAAACCTAATAAGCTGACACATTACCTCCTTCAAAAGATTCGACAGCACTTCAAGTTTCCCCATTTATTGACTGACATTTATTCTACACGTTTCTCTTTTGCTGTAAAAGGTCTTTACCTGTCAAAAGTAGATGTTCTTGTTGAAATATTGCAGCAAACATGCAAGCACAACCCAGATGAAAATGTAAATTTATTTGCTTAAACAGTAACTGCGTGACACATTATTTCCTTTTTAAAAATGTTGCACAAAATTGTCATGCATTAATGGAGAAGTGTTGGCATGCCCTTAGCTTTTTGTGTTTTCCAAGGGCCTTGGTGAAGTTTTTTCCCATGGTGCTCTTAGTGCTTTAGATGCAAATGGACATAAGCATAATCAATCAGTTCAGTAAACTGATATTATTCTGCATATGAAGTTGGCTGTGATTCAAAACCAACAGTAATATTAATAATACTGATGATGATGCATCATGAAAACGCTCTATAGAGACAGAAGAATTAAAGAAATGAGAAATCTGAATGACAGTGTGGCGAGTAAATGATCAATAACATTTCATCCTGGAACCCATCTAATGCTTCAATCTTCTGCTGTTTCAGTGTGTGAGAAGCTGAATGTGTTGGTGTGCGGGAGCGACGGCTCACTGAAATCCTCCATCTCAGAGCTGATCCTGCAACACACACACAGAAGATCAGAGAGTGTGAGGACAGACGTGATCAATGTGCTGGAGCTTCCAGCTCTGTTCAACACTGGGCTCTCAGAGGAGGAAGTGATGCGTCAGACTCTCCGCTGTGTGTCTCTCTGTCATCCTGGAGTTCATGCTTTCCTCCTCATTATTCCTGACGCTCCACTTAATAATGAAGACAGAGCAGAAATGGAGGAGATCCAGAAGATCTTCAGCTCCAGAATCAACAAACACATCATGATCCTCATCATGCAGAACTCAGAGCATCAGACAGCAGAACTCAATGAAGAAACACAGGCTGTCATTCAGAGTTTTGGAGGAAGACATCATCACTTCAGTCCTGAAACACAAGTGTCCACATTGATGGAGAACATTGAGAAGATGCTGGAGGAAAACAGAGGAGGTGTTTACTCCACAGAGACATTCCTGGAGGCACAGATGGAAAAATATGAAAAGATGAAAAATAAAATGAACTCACTGGATAAAAAACAACAGGTCCTGATGGACAGAGTCAGAGAAACAGAAGAAGAGATGAAGAAACTAGAAGAAGAGAAAAAGAGAATGAAGATGATGATGGATGAAGAACAACAGAATCAGGAGAAAGAGAGAAAGAGGAGAGAAGAACTGAAAAGAGAAATAAGAGAAGGAGAGAAACATCAGAGAGAGATGAAAGAGGAGATGAAGAGAGAACGAGAGACATTTAGACACGAAATAGAGGAAATCAGGAGAGAAAAAGAGAAAATAAAAAGAGAAAAACACAAGCTTAAAGCTGAATACGATGCAGAAACAGACAGACTGATGAAGAGAAACAAGAAAGATAGAGAGAGTTATGAGACAGAGAGACAGAGAATAGAAGAAGAGTTCAGAGAGAGAGAAGAGCGATATAAAAGACTGATTAAAGAACAAAAGCAGAAGGAGAAAGAAATGACGCTAAAGCAAATGCACAAACAGGAACCAGAGGAAAGACTGAGAAGCAAAGGTGAGAAATTATATTTAAATTACTACAAAAGATCAAAAGTGAAAGTATGTCTGTATTTTATTTGAACTTTACATATATATATTTCTGGATCACATGATTAGCATAAATGAAAACATTCAGCATTGTTCAGCACTGTTAGCCATAAATATCCAGTTTGCATTTCTCTGTTTTTATTAACTTTAAAGCAGTGGTCTCAGACTGGATTCCTGGAGGGCCGCAGCTCTGCACAGTTTTGCTCCAATCAAAATCAAACACTAATCAAGGTGTTCAAGACTACTACAGACTATTAAGCAGGTGTGAGTTGGAGGTGTATGGAGCTAAACTCTGCAGAGCTGTGGCACTCCAGGAATTGAGTTTGAGGGTACTGAATGAGTTTTTGTGCGAGTGAGATGAGATAACTGGTGCTGGATTTTTGGGATAATTTCTGGAAATTGAAAAAAGCTATTCTTTATTTTGCAGCTGTTGCAGCTGGCATTGCTGGTGGTGGATTTACTGGTGGAGCTGTTGTCAAAGCTGTTCATGGTCCATCTGTGACTAAAACAGCTCTTTTTGGGGCTGCTGCTGTTGGAGCCATCGCTGGTGGAAGCATCGGAGGTGGAGCAGCAAGTGGGACACTGAAAGGAGCTGTTGGTGGAGCTGTTGCTGGAGCTGCTGTTGTTGGAGCTGCTGCTGGAGCTGTTGCTGGAGTTGCTGTTGTTGGAGCTGTTGCTGGAGCTGTTGTCGGAGCTGTTTCTAGTCTTTCCATCAGAGAAAATACTGCTTTATTTATAGTTGGATGTCTTGGGGGCGCTGTTGTTGGTGGACTTGTTGGGGGAACTACAGCTGGAGCTCTTGGTGGAGCTGTTGTTGGCGGAGTAGATAAAAGATCTATATCTGGAGCTGTTGATGGAGCTGCTGTTGGAGCCGTTAGCGGAGCTGCTGTAGGTGGAGCTGTAGGTGGAGTTTTAGCTGGTGGATTTGTCGGTAATACTGTTGCTGGAGTTGTTGCTGGTGGAGTCGTCGGTGGAGCTACATCTGGAGCTGTTGGTGGAGCTGTTGTTTGTGGAGTTACTAGAAGATCTCTTCCTGCAACTCTTGATGGAGCTGTGGCTGGAGCTGCTTTTGGGGTTGCTGCTGGAACTATAGTTGGAGTTACAGGTGATAATGTACGTTTAGCTGCTGTTGAGCTACTGCAGCTGTTTGAGTGGCTGGGGTTGAGGTTGTAGGTGGAGCTGCTGTTGATGCTGCCTGCACATTTAGCCAAACTGAACATAATCTGTTAGATGGGTGAAATTCTGGAGCTTTTTTTTGTTGAGTCTTGATCAGTAAGCAGGGATGAACCAACTGCAGGGTGATACCATTAACATTTTACTGACAACATTTGAATGGCGTTTCGGGTGTTTGTATAACTGATGGGTTTTTTCAGAATTAGTTTCTTAAACTTTGGATCATGTCATTGTTTATACTTAGGGAAATGTACAGTAGACCTTATTTGATAATAATAATAATTTGAAAATAGTTTTGCTGTCTCATCAATGTTTGAGGTTTCATCAAGGTTTTGATCAATCAAGATTTTTTTTTCAACACCAAATACGGTATATAAGGAAAGGTACTGAACATGTTTTTATCAGTGTTTGAAATATACTGTGGCCTTTGGGGGAGCCCACAGGATTCCTTACAACTCAATTCAATTTAATTCAATTCATCTTTATTTCTATAGCACTTTTACAATGTAGATTGTGTCAAAGCAGCTTCACACAGAAAATTATAGTAAACTGAAAGTGTGTCAGTCCAGTTTTCAGAGTTGAAGTTAAGTTAGAGAAATTAGGCTCAGTTGGGCATGACCATTTCTCTTCTGGCCAAGCTTCTAGGTGCCAGAGGATGGAGAAACTGCAGGTGTGAGTATGTCACCGGCTGGTGTTTACGCTGGCCAATGGGATCAACGCGGAGATTCGTCTGTCACTGGAGTCTTTCAGAAATCAGTCTCATGCTCTCCACTCATCTATGACCACCACAGCATCTGCTCAGGATACGGCCTGATCCAGGATTATGGAAACCTCAGGAAAAAAAAATACAGACTAAGGGCGTAATCACACTATGCTATTGTGCCCAGGCCCGTTTCCCGGATCGTTTGAGAAGTGTGAGTGCGCTGAATCGGGCTCAAGCACGGTTCACTTGGCCGGCCCTGATCCGGTTGGAAGAGGTGGGCCTGAGCGCGGTACACTTGGGCTTTGGTGCGGTTCACTTAGTGTGAGTGCAAAACGCGCTAAAGCCCGAAACTAAAAGTGAGACGTGATTATTAGGGGACTGTTTCATATGGATTAATTAATCATTCTTACTGTTCAGTGAACGCAAACTGCCCTAGATTATTAAATAAGCAAACCCCTCACTGCACGACAGCTGCACCTTCAGCAGACCTCCTCATTACTGCAGCACGAGAGCTTTATGATTGTTTATGAGCGCCAAAAGTGGCGGATCTGTTCGGCGAAATATCTGACTGCGTCACCGCATCCATAAGGACTGTTTGGCGAAATATTTGACTGCATGTCACTGCATAACAAACGACAGACACGATATAATGAGAGAAATGTCCACTGTGCTGAGCGAGAGCGCTCACTGAACAGCGCAGCAGTGATGACGTAAGCGTGCCCAGGCTTGATTGTAGTGTGAGTGCGGGCCGTCGGGGGAGACAGGAGGGGGGACAAGCGTGCTTTGGCAACTGTATAGTGTAAGTACGGCCTAACATTCCAATTATCATGTCTTTTGGGAAGAGCCTTCTTCTCCCAAGCTGAATATTTTCTCTCTGATGTTGTCAGTGTCCTGGATGCAAACGCTATTACCCTTTCAACCCCATCTGAATGAAGCTGCATCAGGACGGCATCAAGGCCATATTTGGTGGCATCTGTACTAATTACTGTGAGCCACAAAGGATCATAGCCAAAACAGAAATCTGTACCAGCGTTCTTTTAAGGATGTTAAAAAAAGTATGTGAGCATGAATTTATATAAGATTTGTTTTGTACATATGTGCAAATTAAAATAAACACATGCATATACAAATAAATAATAAAAAATACATGCATTTAAAAATATATATATAAATAAAAGGCATTTGTTAACAAAGGTTATAAATAAAATGCATGCATTTACATATGAATAAAAGCTTGCATTTATAAATAAAGATAGAAAGCATGCATCTAAAATGAATGTATGCATTTATAAATAAAAAATACATGGATTTATTAAAATATAAAGCACACATGTATAAAAGAATGAAAGCATGCATATACAAATGCATTTATGAAACTGTATGCAAAATAAAAAAGTGCATACATTAAAATAAATGCATGCATATATGAATAAACAATAAATGCTTTTATAACAAAATGCTTGCATTTACAAATAAATAAAAGCATATATTTAAAAATCTATAAATGCATGCATTCATTTTAAAAATTTATTTATTAAAAAAATATACATAAATAAATTATTGCAATAAAAAAACGTGCATTTAAAAAATATAAATAAAAATGCATGTATTTAGAAATAAGCAGCATGCATTCATAAATGAATAAAACTATGCATTTATAAAAATGATAGAAAAAATACATTTAGCATGCACTATAAATAAATGCATACAAATAAAATAAATGCATGCATTTATAAAATAAAAACGAGCATTTATAAATCAAAAGCCCCCATATATAAAAAGGAAATAAATAAAATGCATGCATTTATGAGGAAATTATTTATAAAATGTATGCAATATAATAAAAAAAAATTTGAAATTGAAAAATTAATAAATTAACGCATTTATAAGGCATTCTTACATTTTCTTTTCGGCTTAGTCACTTTATTAGTCTGGGGTCGCCACAGCAGAATGAACCACCAACTTATCTAGTACATGTTTTATGCAGCGTATGCCCTTCTAGCGACAACCCATAACTGGGAAACATCCATACACACTCATTTGTTGTACAAATTGCATGCACTTAAAATTAAAAGCATTTATAAATTGAAAACTGCTTCATTTATAAATGTTAAAATTAGTGCAATTATAAATATCAAACGCATGCAATTAAAATAAAATAATATGCATAAGCATGCATGCATGTGTTTATAAATACTAAAATGAATAAATGTAAAACATTTCTCACTGAAATTCTAGTCATGCTCTGTAATGTAGAAAGCTCATTGTAACTTAAATCAATATTTGATGCATTATTTTATTTTGGGGGTAATAAGATTCAATAAATGCATTGTGCAATATTAGTTTATTCCATGTTATTAGAAGTTTATTATTTATCTCACTGGTATCTGAGAGCTTTTATCACTGAAACGTGTTTCTTAATATGCAGATCTTGTGTTGTCAAACTTTTCTTTGATCATTCAAGGTTAATCATAACAAATCTCAGTAGCAGTGTCTATCCAAAGATGTTAATTAGACCTAATGTGCAATACTGGAATATGCCATAAAACATTTGCAAACAATTCAGCTTTTCCATCAAATGAATCAAAAAGAGCAAAAGGATCACTAACCCTGCACAGATATCACTGAGAAAAGTATAGTTTAGTGTTGTGGAAATCTCCAATGTGCTGTTTGTTCTCCTCTAATGAATGAGCTGCGCCTCAGAAGACCAAACTCAATAAACGCGGTGGCTTGTGGAAGCATTAGATGGGAGTGCAGACAGATGCTCAAGACAGTTCTGGTGGAAATAATAAAAGAGGAATAATAATACTGAAGCACTGTGATGACGGACTGACGGAGGACTGAGGCCTTTTACAATCAGCACAACAACATTACACACCTGCATCAAAGGAAAGCTGGAGACATGGAGAGCTGCAGACCAACATTAATGACGCAAACACACTCACACACACATTTATATCTGATCAGCAGCAGGCAAACACTACATAACTGAAGTGCAGACTGATGAGCACAGACTTTACTCACTAAACGTGTTTACAGCACAGTTTATGTGCAATTTTTTTCAGAAACAAAATTTTTTCCAACTCAATTTCAAAATTGATGCACATTTAGTCACTAAATGCTCATAGAAACCAATAGTTTCTGGATGCAGCCTTTATGATGCAAGCTGAAACTGCATCACTCAGCTATGCAATGTCAATGCACTCAAATGGAGCGAGTGACGTCACTGTGACGGGTGGGGTTAGGTTAGCCCATTAAAAAGCATTGGATGCAGCCCAGATTGCACTGCACCAGGTCTGCAGCTAGACCCCTCTCATAAAAACAGTCGAATGTAAATCAAGCTACTGTTTGTTACTGTAGTTTAATTTCTGCAGTTCCAGCAGTTGACCAGTAGAGGACCTCATTACCTCATTATTAACCTAAACTACAGTCACACACTGTACTGTTACTATGAAGTGTTATTTGACATTCTCAGCTGCAGTTATGAATGATATAATGTTATGAATATTATGAACATAAAGGTCTGGAGGGTTTCAGTGGTTGAGGGTGAGAATTTTTCTTAAACAACATTTAAACATGTCAAGCCAAACCATAATATAAAGCTCCAGAACACTTCAAATAAAGTACACTTGCAGAATATTATTTTATTTCATGCATCTATGCTATTTAAACACACAAGCGGGACATTTATCTGTTTATTTATTTAGTTATTTATTTAACATAATATATTTAAATCAGGAGCTCAAAGTTTAATTTCTTGTGTTTTGTGATCGTTACCAATATATGAAGAACTCTTCATTTCATCTTTACTAACTAATCCGTCTATTTGGGGCTTTTGGAAAGCTACGCAGCAGTTAAGTTATAACAGTTGAGTTAACTTAGTACTCAACAATAACTAAATACGTTTACTTTAATTAAAGGGAACAGATGTCTCGGTTTTGGTGTTCTGTCCCCGAAATTCTCCCCGTTTTACAGTAGAAGCAGGTAAACAGTCAGCAAACACAGACATATGAACCCCCCCTGACCTGCAGATGAACAGATCCTGCAGTGATTATTCCACCAGCAGAGGGAGCGACACTGAGGAATGGGCAGACGCTGACGTCACAATCTCCGCCCAGTTTATTCCTGGCTCCCTGAAGGAGAAACAAACTTCAAAGTACAAGTAGGCTATCACGTTACGCAAATATGTGTAAATATATTATGAAAAAACATATTTTGTTCCTTGTATTAAGTTTTTACGCTAGTTGTAGACGTTGCGGGTTGGTTTCATGTTTATTTACGTCTGAGAACCCAATTAATTTCATACATTTAAATGTTCAATATTAATATTCGGTTTAAAAGGTAAAACTTTAGTAATTGTTGAACTTGAGCTTTGTAGTATCGTTACTAAACACTGTAATAAAATAGTGTTTTACAAAATGTATATATAAATATATGAGTTGTTGCTAAAAAGGAGTTGTTATTAATAGCACATGTTCAGGGTAAGTCAGTGTAACCAGACTCTCAAATACGCGAAGACTGAATTTGCCTCTACTTGTTGGAAACCAGCTTGTATTCAGAATATGTTTAAGAGATTATTAAAATATAGCAAATCAATGTGATTGATGAAGTAAAATCTGTGTGATCTCTGACAGGAGGATAAAGAAACACACATTAAGAGGAGGAAGATGATGATGAACTGAAGAAAGAGAAGCAGATCAACATGAGCAGCATAATAACATGAAGATCAGCAACATCAGAAATGAACAGGGATGATGATCAGCTGATGAAGAACAGAAGATCAACATGAGCAGCAGAGAGAGCAGAGGTCAGAGATTATTCAGACACATTAAAAACTAACTACTACAGAGTGTGTTGATCAGTCCTACAGGTGTTTTAGTAAAGATGTCTGAATTATGCATTATTATGCAACTTTAATTGATTTGAGTTTTAACCTGTTATATTGTTCATGTGTTTAAAATGCTGTAAGTGGGAATAAAAGCGTCTGCTAAATGCAAAAATTTAAATGTGACGTATTATGTACTGTAGTAATACTCCTTTCTGACATGTTCTCAATGTAATGTTTTATAGCCATTGTTCGTGGTTCTGCCTGCAAGAGAAGTAGCAGCATAGAACAAGAGCCACCATCCAGTAAGTCTTTATATAGTCGATGAATACATTAACAGAATGTCATAGTCTTTTTTTTATTGATTAAAAATTGTCTGTGTTTCTGTTAGTTCTGTTCTAAATAAATAAAAGCATATATTCATTAATCTATCAATGCATGCATGAATTATATGAATATGCAAGCATTTTAAAAATAACTATAAATAAAAATGCATGTAGTTGATGCAGTGGCGCGGTAGGTAGTGCTGTCGCCTCACAGCAAGAAGGTCGCTGGTTCGAGCCTCGGCTAAGTCAGTTGGCGTTTCTGTGTGGAGTTTGCATGTTCTCCCCGTGTTCGCAAGAGTTTCCTCTGGGTGCTCCAGTTTCCCCGACAGTCAAAAGACATGCGATACAGGTGAATTGGGTAGGCTAAAAAATTGTCCATAGTTTCAAGAGTTCACACTTAGATAGTGCTTGACTATTTAAGCTAGTTTGGCATGCTGTCCCGGGAGAGAACCCTGAGCTCGGTGATAGATGAGCCCAAGGCTCCCGCCTGGTCAATAAGCATTTGGAGGGATATGAGATCAGGTAGTTCTCGATAGCTTCCCAAAATAGATCACTAGTTGTGCTAGTTTGTAGTAAGTGCTTGTGACTTTAACTTTTGTTGCATAGTTTTTGAGTGTGGGAGGAAACCGGAGTACCCGGGGAAAACCCACGCGAACACGGGGAGAACATGCAAACTCCGCACAGAGAGAATCGGTTGGCTCAGCTAGTGTTGAACCAATGACCTCCTTGCTGTGGGGCAACGGTGCTAGCCACCAAGCCACCGTGTCGCCCAAACTGAGGAGGAGGGAGAAGGGATGGATGGGGGGGGTTTCCAAAACGAAGATGAGGATTGAAGTTTAGGCTGGATATTTATATTGAATTTAGAGTGATCCGATTGGCTAGTTAGTGATTAGTGATAGGGATCAGCTGTAGTCAATCCTATCACGTGCTCCTCTCGAAATTAGTTTGAGAAACTTCACTTCAAGAGTTCACACTTAGATAATGCTTGACTATTTAAGCTAGTTTGGCATGCTGTCCCGGGAGAGAACCCTGAGCTCGGTGATAGATGAGCCCAAGGCTCCCGCCTGGTCAATAAGCATTTGGAGGGATATGAGATCAGGTAGTTCTCGATAGCTTCCCATAAATGCTATTGTGTCGGGACAGCAGCCGCGTATTCGAAGAACGCCCCCCCAAAAGCTAGAAATTGCTATATCCGGCTGCTGGATATAGTGGTTTGAGGAGAAAGAAAGAAATGAAAAGGTAGAGGAGATGTGGGCTCTGTAAGAGCCCAGACGTGAAAAGAGGAAACTATCTCCGATGGAGATAATATATAAATGAACAACATAGGTAAAGTGCTATGCTGGAGGGTGGGCAGTGACATGACTCGTGCTCGTAGTCACAGCTCGAAAGTTGAGCTATCAAAGCAGGTTCCAGCAGGAGTCGGAAAAAGAATTTTTGGGCAGTGAAGGCTCCGACTATGAAAAATGGGGGTTTAAGCTCTAGGGCTGCCTTTGCTGTAGCTAGAGCTTAGGGGTGACAGCATTATGAAATAATGTATATGTCCGCATGCACGGGTACATGCGGGCATAGATACATAACATATATAGGCATATAACCATGCACACATATGCACTCGTGCCATGCGCATGCACACGTACACATGCACGCATGCACACACACACACGCACGCACACACACACACACACACATACATACATACAAATACACGCACATACACACGTACGCACATATATATACACATGCACACATATAAGAACACTTAGTAGTCACAGCTCGGGAAGTTGAGCTATCAAAGGCTGGTTCCAGCAGAAGTCGGAAAAGGGGAATTTGGGCAATGAAGACTCCTACTGGTTGGAAAAATAGATGTTTAAGCTCTGGAACAGTCCCTGTGGTTGCCAGAATTTAGGGGTGACAGCACTATGAAATAAAATATATGTCTGCGTACATGAGTGCATGCAGGCATATCAATATATATATTATTCATATAGGCACATATTAATGTATATGCACACATGCCGTGTACATTCCTCATATGTGCGTATATGAACAGGCAAAGCAATGTAAAATAAATAAAAGATCTAGGGCTCGAGGAGAGGGGGCAGTGACGTGACTCGTGCTCGTAGTCACAGCTCGGGAAGTTGAGCTATCAAAGGCTGGTTCTAGTAGGAGTCGGGAAAAGGGGAATTTGGACAATGAAGACTCCTACTAGAGGGAAAAAGGGGTTTTAAGCTCTGGGACCGCTCCTGCGGTGGCCAGAGCTTAAGGGTGGCAGCACAATGTATGAATGTACATGTCCACGTACGTGGGTGCACGTGGGCATATAATTATGTTGTTCATATAGGCATATATATATATACGGGCCATGTGCACTCTTCATATATGCGTATATAAACAGTCAAAACAAATATAAAATAAACAAAAGAGCTAGGGCCGGAGGCGGGGGGCAGTGACGTGACTCGTGCTCGTAGTCACAGCTCGGGAAGTTGAGCTATCAAAGGCTGGTTCTAGCAGGAGTCTGGAAGGGAGGGAGGGATTAGAAAACTCCTGTGAACAATGTTAGGAAGGGTTGGGGCGGGAGGGGGGGGGGTCAGTACAGCAGTACATGAGTTATAGGCTAACATGATGACTCCTTCTGGAAAGGGTCTTCTGGGCTTCTTTAAGATAACTCCGGCTGAGGCAGATGTATGACTTAAATGGATCTGACGACCACCTTCCTGGAGCCTGGATGTGATGTTGTGGTAGTCCTTTATATGCTGCAGTAGTGGCGGCTTCGATGCTAAATGAATGGCTGTCATATGATTCTGGTGCAAAGCTCCTAGAAATGCATGCTGGTGGAAATCGACAGGAGAGAATATCAGCTGAGCTTCCCTGAGGTGGTATTACTCTCCTGTGGTGTAAAAATGCTAAGAGAGTTTGGACTGGGTGTGAGGGAGGGTATATCAAACTGTATGCATGATGTCCTTTGCAAAATTGATCTATTTTGCTTGCTTAATAAGAAAGATGGTATTTCTTCATCCTGCCAAATTGGTTCAGATATGGTGAGGTGATTGTGGGATTAGATGTTAGTTTAGAATATCTCAGAACTAAAAGGCTAGTGTAAAAATGTATACTTTGTGTAGAGTATAGTTGTATTTGGAATGTATAAAGAATATAATGGGTTGGATGAGGGTCAGATTCTGCAGCCAAATTTCATGGTTTCTGAAATGAGAAATGAGAGAATCAGATAAAGATTACAACATGGTGCATGTACAACAGACATAATAAATTGTTTTAGCTGATATCCATGCAATCATCTTATTAAGGGTGTGGACAACTGTAAATGGAGTCGCCTTTTGTTAACGCATGGTCCGATAGCTGGTTGTCGCGATGTGCAAGGATGGTAGAGGTGGGCATTCGTCCCCCCACATGATGGCAAATGGATGGAGAGCTGAGGATATGTGGTGTGGCTTGTCTGGTTGTCTTGGAAGTATCTATTGAAGATCCATCTGTCAAATATCCTCCTTCTATAGCAGCCAAGCAAGAAGTTTGTTTTCTTTGCCGTTTTACATCTAACTGACTTGCCATTATAAGTTTACGTATGACACTTTGTATATCAACACGTGAGTCACTGGCGTATTACGATTGGACTTCAGTGCTCGAAGTGTATGATGTTTTTCAATACCTGGGTAATGTTCACTGGTTGGGTAATAATCTTTTCTTAGTTAACTGGCTTTCAGATGTAACTTTATTTGTTTATTTATATTATTATTATTATTATTATTATTATTATTATTATTATTATTTATTTAATTATTATTATTAATATAATCATTTATTTATTTATTTTGATTATTATTATTATTATTATTATTATTATTATTATTTTTATTTATTTATTTTTTATTATTATTATTATTATTTTTTTTATATAAAATATCAACTGCTAACATCAAACTCTGAACTTAATAAAACTTCAAAACGATATCACCACTTAGTAAAACTGTGAATGAAATGTTAGTAATGGCTTATTTTAATCCATGAATATTTATTGAAATCTTAACTTAACTAAATTCACAAGCGTGTCTGGCCAATTCGTTCATAAGGTCTTTGCAACAGAGTCAAGAGAGAGGGCGGGACTATCTCCAGTTTTTTAGAGCTCATTGGATGGTGACGGTTATAGCTATTGGCTTAAAGGAGTGTCAATCAGGCCCTGCCAAAGGTGCAAAAGCCCAGCGGCCATTTTGTTGAATAAAAGTCCCCATTGTTTATGACTGGAGCTGCTGTTCTGCTGAACACATTCCAGCAAACAAGCTGTAAATGTTATGGATCTGTGGACAGGCAGGAGGATTGTGAGGCAAATGTCTTGGTTAAATTCATTGTTCACGCTAGTCTTGTTATTCAAAAGATTAATAAATGTTTAGTCTAAATGTTTGGCTGTAGTTATTTTGCAAAGTTTTCCTTCAAGGCATGCATACTATGTACGTTACCACATGTGCACCGCTAGGAGGCGAGGGTTCAGATTCCATGCAGCATTCTTTGAGGAGGCACTTTAAAGTGGAAGGTTTGATGTTGTTGTTGATGAATTGTTGTTGTTTTGAATTAGTAGTAGTTTATGTTATTGCTATAGATTGTGGATTGTAGATTTTATCTTGTAGTGGATTGTAGCTTCTGGCTTGTAGCTTGTGGTGGCTTGTAGCTTGTGGTGGCTTGTAGCGGCTTGTAGCATGTGGTGGCTAGAAGCTTGTAGTGGCTTGTAGCTTGTGGTAGCTTGTAGCGGCTTGTAGCATGTGGTGGCTAGTAGCTTGTAGTGGCTTGTAGCTTGTGGTAGCTTGTAGCGGCTTGTAGCATGTGGTGGCTAGTAGCTTGTAGTGGCTTGTAGCTTGTGGTAGCTTGTAGCGGCTTGTAGCATGTGGTGGCTAGTAGCTTGTAGCTTGTGGTGGCTTGTAGCGGCTTGTAGCATGTGGTGGCTAGAAGCTTGTAGTGGCTTGTAGCTTGTGGTG